ATTTTCTAGCATTGTAGCAGCTGCAAAGGAGAATTTTAGGAACAGATTTTTACAGATCTGTAAGATGGAGACAATCCTGTATTTTCTTACTTCTCCAGATGAAGCCATATTTGAAGAACTTGATATTTCCTGCTTACACCGGTTAGATATTAGAAATCTGGAAATGGAACTATTGGAATTTCAAGATAACTGTATCTGGAAAAATAACTTCTATGACCTGCCTGCAACACTGGAGAAGACAGCGTGCAAAGGACAGCACAGTTGGTAGTTCTGAAAATGAAATCCTCAAAGTGTGGAATTCTCTGCCAATTTTAAGTCAATGAAAGCACTTGGGATTGCTCTTCTTAAATTGTTTGGGTTATTTTATGCTTGTGAGCAGCTGTTTTCAGCTTTGAATGATATCAAATCTGATACCAGAAAGAGACTAACAAGATGACCTGAGTGCTGCATGTGTTGCTCTCAAACTAACGGCGTATGAGACAAGGTTTAACAAAATATCAGCATGCATACAACATCAAAAATCACATTAATTGTGCAAAAGCATGCCAAATTCAAACTTTTACCTAATGCAGTGTTTGCAGTCCAAGACACTAGTTTAGGAGTTGTTTAAAGTCTATTAAGCAAGTTTAGTTTTCTTGTTTATCCTGCTCATACTAATACAGGTTGACGTTTGCTTTTACTAATCCAACACCTGTAGAAGCAGGGAGAGGACCTGGAGTAAGGCTCGCCCCATACAATTTCAGTCTGGCATATAATCATATTACAAGTTGAGTATCTCTTACCCAAAAATACATGCACAGAATTATTTTAAAAGTTTGTATAAATACCTGGCTACAGGCCATGTGTACAATGTATTACTTTAATAATTTTCCATTTACTAGAGTTGATGGGCTTTTTTCAATAAAAGTGTTTGTATCATTGAAAGCTCTGCTATTGTGTATTTTAAGAGAATATGTGTTGATTAGTTCAGACAACTGTATGTTGTTCATTAGTTCAGACAACTGTATGAGTTGTTTTTTTTTCTAAACTAAAACCTCAGTATTCAGGTTTAATTGCAGTGTTGGCCCTTTGAAAGAAATAATTTGGGTTTGTGTTGCAGTTTGGGCTCGAAAAGGTTCGCCATCACTGGGTTAAATGATTACTGGAGCTGGACTCAGGCAAGGAGACTATGAAAAATATATGTAGGTTACAACAAGCATATGAGTAAACTGTATCTTTCTGAGTAGTGATTTAAATTCAGTCCACCCTGTCCATTTATTTGTTTTATCTGAATCTAGTTGCTGGAGTTACTGTTCTCTTTGGAAGCATAGTAATAAATACCAAGTACATGAGTACAGTCATGCAAAAAGTCATGCATAGTCAGGGTATAACCGACATTTCAAAGAAATTCAACTCCAGTAGGGAAGACATTTGAAAGCAATGACCTATTCCCCCTGTCGCTGCCTGGCAGCAGCTTGTTTATAAGCTAAAAACACAGAGTTTCAAACAAATACTAATGATCATTGACAGATTTTGTGTCTGTCTGCTTTACTCTATCACAACCTTTTTTGCTCAGTCTTAACAGTAGTTCCCAAATAGTAGCTTTTGAACAATTTAGCTCATGTATGATATGTGTGTATGATGTTCATTGAAATGTAGGAAACCTAGGACCTGGCTCTGGCACAATTTTTCTTCACAGTGGTACTTTTGGAATAAATTCTGAAGAGTAATGCATGTACAGTATACATGGATGTCTTAGAAAGTGTAGCTGTACAGCTCCCAGACAAAGGCTCACTTCAGCTATAAGAGTTTAGAGTCAATAAACCATGATTTACAGTACTAGCTTAGAACAAGCCACACCTCCACATGCTCTGATCCCAAGTTCCTGTGTGATTGTAAGCACAGATTAAATCACAGTTTGTCAGTTCAGATCTCCAGGATGTTGAGTTATGTAATCAGTCAAGAATTATACCACTAAATGGAGGGGAGGAGTGAAGGAGAGAGCAAGAGGGCATAAGTGAACTTCTAGGGAGGAAAGATAAAATGCCATGGATTCATTAAGGCATTTATGAATTGCTGATTGGTCTGAACAGGGCCCCTGAGGCAATATATAATTTTTAAATGATCTTTTAACAAAATATCAGATGGAGAACCCTAATTTCAGAACATCCCGGCAACAGAATGATTTTTTTAAAAACTCAATAACAGGTTTTTAAAATGCCTAAAGGTAGATAAAAATGAGGCCAGTCTGACTTCCTATAGGAGGGAGCTGAGCTTGGAAAAGTTGCTTTGGGAGATTGCAGCTCTCTGAATCTTCGGGCATTATGGTCATACCAGCTGAGGGGTCCTGGAAGCCATTGTTCGAAAAAGTACATTTTTTGAGTTTGTCATCAGTAACCTATCTCCTTTTGATGAAAAATGTAATGGCTTCGGAAATCATCAATGATGAACAGATTCACATAGGAGGAAGTGATCTTTCAGCTGTCCTGCCTGGAGACTATTATTAATTCATACGCCTTGAACTGAGCACAGAAACAAAAATGTTGGAACAAGACTGGTATTGTAAGGGCTACAAAACACACACTAGAAAGCAACTCCACATGGAATGCTTTTATTACACTCAGACTATTGTTTCTAGAGCAGGTTTAATTCTATAGTTACTATTTTGGAAAAGTAATATCTGATTGTGCCTAGAACAGTTAACAGTGAGAAGAAAAGTTAAAAATGAGAAAAGCTGGGTTGAGATTTGGACTATGAATTTTTTCAGTTTCCCTTCCATCAGCCTTTCTTTAAAAACAAGTTGGATTACTAATTCTGGCATTAATATCTGGATTGCAAAGAGCCATAAACTAGTTCTGTTAAGACAAGGAGGGCTTTAGGCATGGTTTCAGGCTGGGATTTAAGCTTAGAAGGTAAATATTTTCCCGTACTTACTTTCTGAAAGCTGTAAAATCTTGAGAGCTGTTTGTCTGCATATGCAACGAGCTTTGTACTACTAACTTGTGTAGTGTTGGAATGGATTTGAGAAGACAAAATCATAATACAAGGTTAGATGCAGCATTATGTCTTTGATGAAAATTTTTGTGCCTTACTTGGATTAATTAATCTGTTCTCCAAACATAGTAGAACAGGTCTCTGCCTGGGGCTTTCTGGTTCCTTGTCATACTTGCCAGTAGTGTGATATGTTCTCCCTACACAGTCAAAAGGAAGTTTACAGTACAGCAGCAGTTCAGCTTTGTTTATGTACTTGTGTCATAACTCTTTCTTGTGTATCACTGGCCTTCCATGGCTGGGATTAGTCAGCCTCTGAAACAGTTTTCAGTATTTCAGAATTTAGAAAGGACGAGCTTTTCTTCAGAGAAGAATCAAGAGCTAAGAAGTCTCCTACAAACAGCAAAAATACTTGTATAGTAGATTAATAAGTTGTCTGAATATTTTTCCTTTTTACAAATTAATTGTGTTGGATTGATTTTTGGGGAAATCACTTATCTGTTTGTATAACTAGTGTTGATTTATTAGACATAGAACTTAAATGTCAAACGTGAAATCTTCAATTGAAATTATAATGTCAATGTGTAGTCTGCTAGATCTGATACATAATTTCTGGTTTCAGTTAGACCACGGAATGATAACCTGGCTTTACAAGAGTCATTATATGTTGGTTTCTGTTATTCATCTTTAAGATTTTTCCCCCGTGACTCTTTAAAGAAGATTGTAAATCGTTTTATATGCCTTGTGAAGCGTACTCAGTCTGACAGCTTATAACCAGAAGTTGAAGAGTAGACATAGGAAAAAGTAGAGAATAGATGAAAACATCAGTTGTCTGCCAGCTTAATTCTGAAATGATTAAAGTGTGAAATCAGAGTTTCTGCAGAGTTGACAGGCTATCACATGGTTCTTTGCTGTAGAGACCCTGATGTTGTCTGTCATATTTCTGCATCGTGCAGTGGTTTAACTAGTCTAGAATGTGGTCTCCTTGACAAGGATAGGATTTGAATTTGAATTTGAAACTCACAAATTCAAAAGTGTCAATATGTTTTCCTTTCTTATATGATGCTTATAATAGCACACTAATAAAGAAGCAGCAAATGAAGATATAAATATTAGAAGGATTTAGCCCATGAGTAAAATAGCAACTTCTGAGACTTGGGTAATAAAGCTAAGTGGTCTGAACCAGCCTCACTCAAAGGACTAGTGCACCTTTGGATTTTATGGATCCAGAGTCAGCATTATTCCAGTGGGAGAGCACTCTCTTTTAGGACCTTAACATTGTATATGAATGGGAATACTGAGATTTCTCTGATCATTTACCCTGATTTATAGGAACCAACCATCTGCAAATCCTAACCAACAGGAAAATCAATGGCAGGGGTGGAATTTCAGCTCTTTAAGAGAGCTGTAGCTCTCTTGATAATATCTAATTGTATTAATTTCGTAGGCACTGCTTCTAGTATTCTGTTAGCAGATGTCAATATACTGAAGCATTTAGTTTGTATAGTTAAAATGCTAAGGAAGTCTATGTACAGTGCAGATGGTATACCACTAAGTACAAGTTCTTCCTGAAGACAGCTTTGATTTATACAGAATCTTTTAACCCTAAGGAAACTACAGAAGCTTCTCCTGTATGGGATCAGGGAATCTTATACTTATCTGTTTTTGAATTATCCAGTTAAAAATAACTGAAAATGCATTTCTCATGCCTATGTAAATAGCCTGAATTCGGTTTTGACATTAGTTAAAAAATTCCTAGATAACAGTGGAGCTTACCTCTAGTCAGGATACTTTTAAGATACTGTTGGAATTACTCAAATCATTAATCTAACTCTACATTGAAATGTTGTGATTTGTTCCCAGTCATGTTGTAAATAGATAGATAATCCATGCTCTTTTTCTTTCATAATCTTTCCTAAAGGACTGGTTGTAACATCATAAATGAGATGGTGGTACTTTTGCTCTACAGTGGCAATTAGCATCCATTCCTGAACCTCATTGAATAATGTTTCGCTTTCTGCTTTTTGTAGGCTGTGAAGATATTATCGCTGAGAGCATCTCACTAGACACTTTAATTGCCATTCTCAAGTGGAGTTCTCAGCCGTATGGCTCCAAATGGGTACACCGCCAAGCACTGCATTTCCTCTGTGAGGAGTTTACGCAGGTCATGACTTCAGATGTCTTTTATGAACTCAGCAAAGACCACCTGCAAACTGCAATTCAATCTGATTACTTGCAGGTAATTATTCTTGCTCTCAAATTTCTCACAATGAGGACCTGAAGGCTTTGTTAATCACCTACCAGCAGCATATAAATCTTACTGCAGAAGGAAGAAGGAGAAAAGATCCTGTTCTGATGAATATGTGCAGAAGGGGGTCTACACTCTCTGGGTGGTTCACAACATGACAAATCACATTAAAATTAGCAGTACAAAATACACTATACAATAAACACCATAATGTAAATAAAACATTGTCACTCTCTGAAAACACACATTTAAATAGAATTAAGCAATTTAAAACAAACTTAGACTCCTCAGGCCAGTGGTTAAAAACACTAATAAAAGACAGCTTTAAATAATTCTGTTTCACCTCTGTCGGAAGCCTGTTCCAGAGGGAAGATGCCATGACAGAGAACGTGGAGTTCCTGGTGTTAACTCTTTTGGCCCCCTTGGTTGTCACAATTTTTAACATCATAGATTGTGAAGAGTGTGTGGAATGGGTAGCTGTTCTGACAAGTACTGAGGTCCTAAACCGAACTTTGTTATAGTTAAAACCAACATTTCTCATTTATGGCAATTTATCTGCAACCCAGATGTAATGTAATCCTCTGTAAAACTTTAAAGGATTTTTTTTGTAGTTAAGACAACTTCAGCAAATAAACTAATCTTAACTCTGTCCTTAGTTTCAGTACCTAAAATTTCTGTCTTCAGTAGTAAATAGCCAAAACTGTGGGGCTGCGATCAAATCTGCTCATGCCTACCACCACTCTGGCCACCACATTCTGGACCCACTGCAGTCTCTGGATCATCCTCAAGGAAAGCCCCACATGGGCTAAACCCTGATTGAAATGGGTCTAGGTTATCTGTTTCCTCCAAGAATGCACAGCAGCGGAGATATATTTTAAAGTTCTGGTATAAAGTGTTGAGTCATAGAGTGAGTGGTTTGCCAACACAAAGTCCTGTTCTGTCCCAGTGGTCCAGCATGAGGTAAAGACACTTCAAACCTTGGCATGACAGGACACAGATCCTGCTGATATTAATGGAAATTCTGTGGACTATGGCAACACTTACACCCCCTTCTGACCTGCCATGATGCTTGATCAAATATCCTGGGGAGCATAACTGGGAAAGGGCTAATATCCCTTTCCTTTCCTATGCTGGTTTCAGTTATACACACCAGGTCAGCCCTTTCCTCCTCTGTCGGGTCTAGTTTTAATTCAGATTTCTTTTGGACCAACATAGCATTTACCAGCATTATATGCAGACCAGAAGTTCGGTTGATAGGGTCTTTGTACTGGCATATATACACACAATAATCTTGCAGAGGTAGTGATTAAAGAAAGTATTCTGCTTTCTTGGCAGTATAACCCAAGCCAGACTGGCAGTATAAACTATTACTTGAAAGCCTAATAATAGTTTAGAAGCAGTTGCAAATTATTGTAAGTGAAACTCTTTTTAGGCTTAATTTTTGCCTTGCCTGTTCAGAGGTTTATGGAAATTATATGGTAGTACTCACAAGAAAAATAAATGTTTTGGGGAAGAAAAGGGGATGTAGCTCATCACTTAAACACTTTTTTCTTGTATGAGATGAACAGGGTTTCTCTGGTTTCAGCCAGCCATTGTCTCCCCACCCTCTCCAGATTTGTTCTGCTGCTCAGTTATTTGGAAGACTCCAGTAATATGTGTGACCACATGTCAAAGGCACAGTTTATTGTGTAATTAATTTTAAAATACAGTATCCCCTTGTTTCTTTTTTTTTTCTGGATGCTTGGTAAGAATATAGAAGATTTTCTTTTTGTCTTATTTTATAATCATCAAGGGGTACTTCTGGACCTAGGGCTCCTGGTACTGTTAACCAGAATGTTTTGCACAGCTGTTCTGTCTTTTCTTCCGTAACTTATTCTTTCTGAGAAAAGAGATGGGAGAAAATGATGGGGAAGCTCATGAGGGCTACAGATGAGAGACGATGACCAAAGGGGCAACAAACCTTAATTTGTCTTTGGTAACTAGCCATTATTTCTTTCTGCCGCCTTTTTCATATGTGAAAGACTTGAGAGAGAAGAAGGGGTCAGCCTTCTCATGTTCATTTACCGTGCTGCTTCCAGATGTCTCCAGAGCAGAAAATGAGGTGAATGAGTGACCCTGTCCTTTTGGACAACTCAAGAAAGGAGCTAGCATCTTACCTTACTCCAAGCTGGAAGCTACTGTGAATCTTCCGGAGATACTCTTGCTGAGGGACTTGCAGGTCCTCTTGCTAGCTTGTTGTAGATAAACAAATCCTACCCTCTGGCACTTTGGACTCCCAGCTTCATATGAAACTACAGATTTCATTTCTTGCACAATATCCCAGCAAATAACTCCATGAAGCTGCCACTTTTTCTTCTTAGTTGTCTCTGTGACACAAGCAAACCAGTCAGGTCTTGCTTCTGTGCAGTGCCACAGTTGCAATCTTCTAGACCTGAGCAGATTTTTTGATGGATTCCTGCACTGCACATTTTTAGGCATGCCTTGATACCTTCTGCTCAGTTCCTTTTCAGGTGCCACATCAGCAGCACTGAAAGGAATTTTCTCCTCCTAAGTCACATAGGTTGAACATATTTTCTTCATTTTTCATTGTAACTGTTCACCACCACTAACAGGTGCCTGAATCGATGACAAAAACTGTCATTTATTCCAAAACTTACCAAAGCCAGTTTTCCTCTATCAGACAATTCCAATATTATCAAAACAAGATTTTTTAAAGAACTGAAAAAGATAATGAACAAGTATGTTTCGGACAGGAAAAAAAAAACGAATAAGATAATGACCAAGTATGTTTCGGACAGAAAAAAAAAATAAAACTTAAGGCTTTTCAGGACAATAAACGAAGAGGAGAGTTTGGCCTACCAGACTGGATGAATTATTACAGAGCAGCAGCTCTGCCCTGGGTGAGGGTATGCGTTATTCTACAAAATGGGAGACTTTAAAAATTGAGGGGCATGATTTAAGGCTAAGCTGGCATGCCTACCTATGGTACCAAGATGATAAGCAATGCAAAACATTTAATTTACATTTGATCAGGAGAGCTCTGTTATGGGTTTGGAAGACAATTAAGGCATAACATTATAGAAAGATACCATTATGGTTAGTTCCATTAGAAGCGTTCTCTCATCTGGCAGGAACATCTCAAGGAACAAATGGGAGATAGGCCGAGATATTAGATCGTGATTTTAATCTAAAGAATAAAGATGAACTGGCAGAACAAGGTATTACCTTAGAATGATGGTCAATAAACTTGTAAAGATATGTAAAAGATAATGCTACAGGGTTTCAGAAAGACAAAATACTTTTGGATAAGGGGTTGCTGGATGCAGAGGAAAAATTGATTAAAGGTTTATATAATACTTTAATGGAGTAAAAAATGGAAGATGAAATTGTGAGGGGTTGCATGGTAAAATGGGCTCAAAATATAGGTCATAATGTAGAACTAAGAGCCTGGTCACGAATTTGGGAATGAAATATTAAAATGACTAAATCTATAAATCTAAAAGAAAATATATATAAAATGTTTTACATATGGTATGTAACACCATATCTATAAATCTAAAAGAAAATATATACAATATGTTTTATATATGGTATGTAACACCAGATAAATTAACAAAAATGTATTAAAATGTTTCTAATAAGTGTTGGAAATGTGAAAAGAAAGTTCTGAACTTCTATCGTATGTGGTGGATGTGCAGAAGGGCCAAGGACTTTTGGAAAATGATTCATGAAATGATAGAGAAAATTTTAGGGGTTAAAATTGCTTTGACACCAGAAATTTTCTTATTGAATATATTACCAGCTACACTTGAAAAAACAGTGACAGTTGACCTTACACCTGATAACTGCAGCTAGAATTGTATATGTCAGTAAGTTGAAGACTTCAAAGGTGCCGACAAAGAAGGAATTTATTGAGAAGATTTTGGAACTAGCAGAAATGGATATTTTGACAGATACATTAAATGATAGACTGGATAATAATAAATGGGAACCTCTTTATACCTGGATGAAATCTACACTGATTTAAGTAGAATAGATTAGATTAATATTATGTTAGAGATTATAAAACAAGATTAAATGAATGGAACATATTGTAATAAATCACTGTGGTTGCAAAGGATAGAAAAGTAGAAAAAATACAATAAAAATATTTATTGAAAAAACACACACCCAAAGAGTCGATGTTAACCTTATCAGCTTGGTACCCTCCAGGTACATCTATAATTCCCCTAATCCCCAGCCAGTATTACTTTGCTTGCTAGGGATGATGAACACTGGAGACCAACACATCTTGGGGAAAGGTGCTAGTTTCAGGGAGGTTAGCTCAGATCTTTAATTGATTTTATTGAAGAATGAAGTGTGGAATGATAGTAGGGTTAATAGTTCTTTGAATGTGACTAGTTTTTTCTAAAATGCTGTGAACAAAAATTGTGTATCATAGACTTCTTTTCATCAGTACTGTGTATTGACCATAACTATTTGTGTTCTCGCTTCATCTTTAATGCTTCTGTGACAGGCAAGTGAGCAAGATGTCCTGAAGTACCTTGTTAAATGGGGCGAACATCAGTTGATGAAAAGAATAGCAGATCGGGGTGAGTACATTGTAACAGACATATCTGATTTAACTGTGTGTGGCATTCATTAATAATGAAATTGATATCTTTAAGCTTTAAAAAAAATGAAGAAAGGGTGTATAAGTATATAAGAAGACCTGTGCTGAGTTAGGCCAAAGGCCTATTCTGTTAAGCCTTCTGTTCACATAGTGGCTAGCCCAGTTACCACGGAGAAGACCACAAGCAGGGCACAGGTGCACTCGCTTCTCCGTCCTTGTTTTCCAATAGAAATTGGAGGGAACATAAAGTGTTTCCATCACAACTGGCCATTGTTCATAGGCTTGTCTTCCGTGAATTTTTCCAGTGGTTTTTAATATTGGTCCAGGTTTGTAGCAATGAATTCTACAGTTTAATTATGCCCTATATGAAGAAGTGCTTCCATTAATCTGTCATGGATCTTCTCGCCATTCATTCACCTTTAGTAGGTGACCAAGGATCTAGTATTATCAGAATGTGGAGGTCAACTTAAACTCTCTTTATCCATTTTCTATTCACTGTACGTATTCAGCTTTGTCCCCTAGGTCATCTTTTTTTTTAAAGCTAAAATCCTCCTCTCTGATGGTGGTGCATATTAAGCTGCCTGATGCCAAATCTGAGCATTGATCCTTCTTACATAGATGTGTTTACATGAATTGGAAATCCATAGTGGGATAATGGTTAGATTATTGGACTAGGGAAGCCTTCCACTTGTTTTGGAAATCCATAGTGGGATAATGGTTAGAATATTGGACAACTTCTACTTGTTTGATTGGTTGAAGCTGATGTGTTGATGTTTCATCAGTCACAGACTCAGCATGAGTTGCTTCACAGGGTTGTTAAGAGGAAGAACTGAGAGGAGGAAACTTGGGTCCCCAGATGTTCTTGGACTGCAACTCCCAGAACTCCTGGCCAGCACAGCAAGTGGTGAAGGCTTCTGGGAACTGTGTTCAAGGACATCTGGGCACCCCAGTTTGAGAACCACTGATATATGCTACCTTGATCTCAATGGAGGAAAAGTGGGATATAAGTGTAATAAAGTAAAATTAAAATTCAACAAGGCTGGATGCTTTCGCTTGCAAAGCATTAGTTTCCCACAGAGTTGTGGCTTCTCTCTTGTGTACCCTAAGCTACAGTTTAATGCATCATACTTACATTTGTTCATACTTACCTTTGTTCCAACAAATATTACCTTTATCATACTTACCTTTGTTCCAACAAATATTCCTGATGGATTATGCCTCAGTGATGTCATTCACAATCTCTGTAGATCCTGGGCCTGAACACATTTACTTTGATCTAGCACTTTCTTGCAAACTCAGGAATTTCAATATTCCCACAGAGCTTCCTTACCCAAAAGAACATGTTCATTTATTTTGGATGGGGCATCTCAAAGAGGAGCATTTGAAGTTGCCTCAGTTGAACTGGGATCTATACTTGCGTATCAGATGTGCTTATCAAAGTGTATGTAAAGTTCTGGTTAAGTGCTGAATTGATTATTTTTTTCTAGCTTTACATTATGATAGGTGTACTTGTAACACACTGGGCAAAATCCAGTTGGCATAACTGTGTGTGGCATAACCCAGAGTAGGTACTGAAAGCATTTAATTTAAAGCAAAGGTTTCCTATCCAAGACTCCCTGGGCTCCCCTTTGCCCTGAGAAAGCCTTTGGCAGTCTTGGGATTAGGAGGGGAGGAAGAAATAGAAAAAAACTGCCGCCGGATTGACCAGCAGTCCCAATCTCAGCAGCAATCTAGTGGAGATTTTTGATTGTTCAAGGCCCAACCACCTACCATGCTGAGGCTCCTGGAGGCTTACCCAGAGAAAAGGAGATCCCTAGGGAGCCTCACAACCTTACTTTAAATCAAACACTTCAGTGCTTGCTCACATTTACACTGTGCAAAGTTGTGCCGTCAGGATTTTGTTCGCTATGATCTGGTTTACATTTGATTGTTCTTTAGAAGGTGGCGAGTGAATAATTTGGGATGCTGGAATAGATAGCCTTCTAGTTCCAATCCATTTTTACATTGACTCTTAGGATATATTTTCTTAATCTTATGTGTACACTTTGGAGGGGAAATTCCACCTTAATTCCCTCAATTTTTATGTTGAAATAAAATGTGTATTTTTGGACTGTCAAACATTGAGTCTCAGGGTTTTGAAGTGTTTTTTATTTGCTATGCAAGGTAGAATCTCTGCCAATTTGGTCTAAAGTATATTCCCAAAAGTTTAATGGCAAATGTAGCCAAACATTCGGTTTTCACAGTGGCCAACCAGATTCCTGTGAAAAGTCCACAAAACAGAACACTTATTTTTGTATTTAAAATATTTTACACCACCTTTTTCCTTCAAAAGAACCTAAAGCAGCTTACACCATTAAAAGATAACATTTAAAAATAAAAACCAGTACGTATACATACATTTTAAAATAATTAAACAAGTATTATATTCAAAATGGGAAATAAAATAGGCATAATTGCTACTAGTAATCAATGATGGCCTTATCCTCCATGAATTTGTTGCATTGCCTTTTAACGCTATCCAGACTGGTGAATATTACTGTATCATATGGTAACAAGTCTATATAATTTGATTATGTGCCGTCTTTTATTTATTCTGAACCTTTCATCATTCAGCTTAATTGAATGGCCTCAGATTCTACCATTTGAGGTGGGGGGGGCATCTCTCTGTCCACTTCTTTCTCATCATATGCACTTCTATGTACCTCTCATCATTAACTCTTTACTTCCCTTTCTCTAAATTTCAACAGCCCTAAATGTTACAACCTTTCCCATTGGGGAGCTGCTCTAGCTCTTGATCATTTTGTTGTTCCGTTCTGCACATTTTTTCAACTCCAGAATAGCCTTTTTCAGATGTAGTAGTGTGCAATATTTCCAAATGTGGAATTTGTATAAAGAAGTATGATATGGGCAGTTTTACTTTTGATTACTTGTCTAAATGTTCCCAGTGCAGAATTTCAGTTGTGCTGCACATTGAATCAGTATTTTCATTGTGACGCCCATCAGTGTCTGAAGGCCCCTTCCTTTGTCACAACTTTTTTTAGAGTGTACATGAACTTAAGACCATTTGCTCCAGCGAATGCATAGCTGGTTGCTAAATTTGCTTAACACTTTTTACTTTTTTGTGGACCGTTATAAGAATTGCCATTGGCTAAAGGATTAAAAATCCATCAAGCCCTCCCCCCCCACAAAGCGAAAGAAAGGAGGATGGGGCTACAAACCACAAAAATTGCCTTGGAGGCTACACTTGTTCTCAGCTACTAAGAAAGAAAGAAAGAAAGAACGAACGAACGAACGAAAGAACGAAAGACAGAACGAAAGAATGAACGAACAATGTACAGCTGATCCTAGAAGTTTTCAGGAACTATGATTCAGCCTTTTTAGTAGATTATAGTCCCCCCCAGTCTGACACTTAAAACTAAAAAATTCTGATTTTTTAAAGTTGTAAGTGGACTTCTAATAACTTTAGTTTTCAGTCCTTTCTTTATGGCCTGTGCAGTCCCTAGAGAATCCTGAGAGCTGAAAATTGTTCTTGGACCTATCAAAGTTCCCACCCCTGATTTTCAGTTTGTGAAGTAGAACATACAACTGAGGGACACTGAGGTAGTTGCTGATAATTCTAACATCCTGTATTTAAATGCGGCTCAGCAGCATGATCCATGCAAGGTTGACTTGTTTAAAGACTGAAACCTACACCAACTCTTCTCTTTCCAAGCACCTGGTAGTATCACTTTCCCCGAAAGGATCACGTTTTCTAAAAGACCCTTGTGTTATGTTATGATGAGCAAATCAAAGTCCCAGCTAAGTGATTGATACATACATCAAAGTCCATGATTTTTCTTGTAGCTTTAGTAGTAATATCAAATAGAAAATAGTTTTGATACATGGCTTTTTATTGTGTGCTACTTTTTAAAAATACTGGCCTGAACCCACCTTTTGGTCCCAACCATAGTAGGTTCACTGAATCAGTGGAACTTGCGTAAATGTTGATATGACAATTTCCCATTAGTTTGATGGCTCTTTTCTGTTTAAAGCATGCAAAGCAAAAAGTGTGCTGCTTATATACCGCCCCATAGTGCTTCAAGCACTCTCTGGGTGGTTTACAAGTTAATTATGCAGGCTACACATTGCCCCCACCCCACCCCAGCGAGTTGGGTACTCATTTTACCGACCTTGGAAGGATAGAAGGCTGAGTCAACCTTGAGCCAGCTACCTGGGATTGAACTCCAGGTCGTGAACACAGTTTTGGCTGCAGTACAGCGGTTTAACCACTGCGCCACGAGGCTCTTGTTTAGGAGTGAGATCTTGATTTAGGCCACTTGCTTTTTATTTCCATGGATTTTGTAGTTTTAAAAACTTGTAATGCTTTTTAGATCTTTGGTGTATTCCTTGAATTCTATGGTTTGTGCTACTTTGGTGTTGCCACAAACATTACTGATTGATTTTATGTTGTGCTGCTTGTTTTTTTATAATAAGCAACCAGAGAATACTGTATTTTTCCATGTATAAGATGTCCCCATGTATACTGTACGATGCCCCCCCACTTTTCTAACCCCAAATTAAGAAATCAGTATTTTAAACATAAAATAGAACACATTTTATTTAGTAATTAGGTAACATTTACATACCAGTGCTGTCATATTATGTATCACACTAACTTTATTCAGCCTCTGTGCTCAGAACACTGGGACATTAGAAGTCCCTGTTGCATCTGAGCACTGTTGCAATTGTTTTGTTCAGCATCAGCTGACATCACTCAATTTTTAATCTAACGATTTTAGGAAAAAGCAGCATCTTATACACAGGAAAATACAGTATATGTTGTTTGGGTGCCATATCAATGCTTTTAATAAATAATAAGAATATTGAATATTTCCAATTCCTGTGCAGAAACCCCCCCCCCACAAGCTTCCATGTATATCATGTAGTCAAAAATAGATATAAAACATGCTGGACCCAATTCAAAGATGCTTTTTCTCTCTGATGTAACCACGTTCTAATATTGGTAGGAAAAACTTGCTTTGCACAAAATGGGTTAAATTCTGTTCATTCGCATACTAACGTGCATTAAATCAGTGAATATTTGATAGATCAACACTTCTGTAAATTACATTCATCCAAATGAGACTATTCTAGTTGCAACTTTTGAGTCAATGGAACTTACTGTGGAGTTTTAAACAACAACCCCCTACTGATCATTGGGCCTACTCATTTGTTCTACAACATGTTTTTTGCTTTAACAGAAATTAAAACACTGAACCTGCCTGTTCTTTCCCCTGCAGAGCCTAATTTGCTGAGTGGCACAGCTCACAGCGTCAACAAACGAGGTGTGAAGAGGAGAGATCTTGACATTGAGGAACTAAAAGAAATCCTTTCTCTTCTCCTGCCATTTGTTCGCATTGAGCATATTTTGCCTATGAACAGTGAAGTGCTAACGGATTCTGTAAGTGTTAGTTCACTTTTGGCCATGTTTCACAGCCTTTTAAAATCCATACCTCCTTGGTGGTAACAAAACATCTCATGCCCTCTCTTCAAATTGGCCACTTCCTCATTTTCCTTTCCTTTTGTCTTCTTTTCTAAACACTTGTGGAATTTTGTAATGTAAATGTTGGGTCACTGCTTGTTTGTCAGTCTTTATTATTGACCACAGCAGTAATGATATGCTCAGCTTTTCCACAGTAAATTTCACAATTAAAGGAGGGAATGCTTTTAATTTTTAGTACTATGCTGAAAATTCTTCCTCCAGAATTATAAAACATTCATTTGTGGCTTTTTTTCTTAAACTTCCAATGTTGCGTTTTAGATCAATAGGTTATCTAAGTCTTTTGGCCCTGCATTTGTTCTGTGTGTAACTTTCAAAGTTTCCTTTCTTTTTTCTCTTTATTTTATATTTGATAATGTTTTTCTCAGTTTTTATGAACTACAGGATGATAGGCTGATGTTAGGTTGTGAAAAGCACCTTTCCTTCAGATTATGACACAAATCCAGCCATTGAGAACAGGCAACTTGGGGGAAGCTCATTCTTTCTTATATCATTAAACTGAATATGCTTTTTCAAACTACACATGCCTCTTGTGAAGTCCTAATATGCCTCCCTCTGGGGATACAGTGGACCCTCTACTTATGGAATTAATCCATATTGGAACAGTGGCTGCAGGTCGAAAAGTCTGTAGGTCGAGGCTCCATTGACCTACAATGCATTGAAAACCGATTAATCTGTAACCAGCCATTTTTGTTCCATTTTGGTTATTTTTTGGTCTGTAGGTCGATTCTCTGGCTGCAAGTCGAACCTAAATTTTGCAGCTAGAGAAGTCTGTAACTCAAAAAGTGTAAGTCGAGCCGTCTGTAAGTCGAGGGTCCACTGTACATCCCACTGGTTATCAGAGCTCTAGGTCTTATATTGGACTGATACAGCAAAGCACTTCCCCTGGTTTGCCAGCCTAATTGTCTTCTATACTGGTCATGTATGTAGCAAGAGTGGAGAGGAGGGACAGTGATGGAGTAAGGCTTGAAGGAAATCCAGTGGACAGATTCAGAGACTTTGTTGTTTGCATTCAGCCCACAGACCTTTAGTGTCTTACTCCATCTTCAGGGCACTGTATTACACTGATAAATTTCTTGATTTGTGTTTGAGGCAGTTATGGGTGATTGCTGTGACTCTTCAAGCAGAGTTCTTGTCATTTCATGTATGTGATTTAACTTTGACCGTTTCTTGGTTTCTCTGTCTGATTCTGTCTGTCATCAAAAGATGAAGAGAGGCCTCATTAGTACTCCTCCTTCAGACATGCTACCAACAGCAGAGGGTGGAAAGTCAAATGCTTGGCTGCGGCAAAAGAATGCAGGGATTTATGTGAGACCAAGGCTGTTTTCACCATATGTGGAAGAGGCAAAGGTAATTAGAAGAGGCTGATAAATCCTCTGTTGTAACTAACATAACAGTTAACTAATCAGCCTTAATCAGCAGGGTGTTTGGTATGTTACGTTCAAACAAAATTGCTAACCTAAAGTATGCAGGTGTTTTCAGTTTAACTTCTAAATCCAAACCTGTCTTTCTTCCAAGGTGCTCTAATGTAGAATATAACCCTATTAAAAGGATATCTGGCTAGCAGTGTACTGAAAAAAATGATGTTTAAAATATATTCTAAAATTGGAGTTTTAAAAATGTGAATTTGATTTTAAAATTTAAATCAGATTTTTGTTGTTGTTAAAGGACTTTGTTTAAAAACATGTATGATGATACAGGTTGGAGATTTCATTATGGAACAGAGATAATAAATTCTCTTTCACTATTAGGAGATAGTGTATTAATCTATACTTTTTTAAAAAATTGTGATTAGGACCCAACAATTCATAGATTTTGGCCTCTATTTGGATTGTTTTGCTATGTAGGACTTACTAGATCCCTCTTCTGACTTCCCCTTCACACAGTAAAGTAGGCAAGTGCTTTAAAGGAACTTTAGCACCTTCAGCAGTTTCCATGCTTAAGAGAGTTGTTTAAAGGTATACAGTTGTCATCAGGCATTATATGTTTGGAGTTTGAGGCCTGATGTTTTGGGTCAGCAGAGGGGCTTCTCTTTGATGATGATGATACTAATGCAGAATTAGTAAGGGTGATATTGCTGGAATGCACGTCATGACTTGATTAAGCAGGGTCAAGAAAAGAAGTTGGCCCTTGTTAGTTATGAGAACACCATGATATTTGATGTTGAATGCAAATACATATATCCCTGGACAAAAGTAAATTAGAGTTCATTCTAGCTGTTCTAATATGGTATTGTCAAGCCAAATGTAAGTAATGTACTGCAGATGTGACAGATTATATTTGTAGTATCGTACTAATTTTATTGATTAATTTATGCTGTGAGTCAGTGTGTAGTGTGAACTCTTGATTTAATCTGTATTTCAGTCAGTTCTGGACGAGATGATGGTGGAACAGACTGACCTAGTTCGTTTACGGATGGTTAGAATGTCCAACGTACCAGACACTTTGTACATGGTAAACAATGCAGTTCCACAGTGCTGTCATGTGATAAATCACCAGCAAATGAGCAGTAACCAATCCAGTCCTCCATCAGTTGTAGCCAATGAAATCCCAGGTAATCTGATCTATTAATTATTGACTCTGTTAAACATCATTAAATGCAACGATCTCTATTTTCCTGATTAGAATTTCATGACAAAAATGGGAGAAATAGCATTTAATGGTTTCTATGGAATCCGAGGTCAGCTTTTAAAAAATGAAGATTCAAATCCTCTTGATTTTTTGAACAGGCAACAAAATTAAGTCCCTGTAGGTGCACAGATTTATTTTGAAAATATTATGGTAATACAATATGTTGGATATCCAGTGTGGTGCAGTGGAATGGAGTGATGGACTGGGTGGGACTCAGGATGCCTGGGTGCAAATCCCCACTCAGCCATGGAAGATTATTGGGGGTATGGAACTAGCAAAACCATTCCGTAAATATCTCACCTACCTTGAAAGCCATATTAGAGTCACTACTAATTGTTTCCAACTTGGTAGCACATAACAACATATAACCTTGTAATGTACATTAAAATAAAGAGTTTGTGATCTGTTTTTTGATTCATTAACAAAGATACATTGATGAGTGATCTAAGACTTTGGCTTTCAGAGGACAGCTGTTTGTGAATAAAGCTATTGCATAATTTGGGGGGAAAAGAATTTCAATTGAGATTGTGGCATCTAACACATATAGTTGCCTGGGATTGCAGATTAATCTCACACAGTCAAAATAGAGCATGGTAAAGGAGGCTGGAATAAATTTAAGCAAAGAACTCTTCATACTAAAAGTTGAGCAGAAATTGTTAATATGGAAAATGAAGGTGTGCCATCCAGGTTGATAAGGCATACCAACCAGGCTCTCTGCTTCAACTTAGTTCAAAATCAGTCAATAAATTTATTTTACAATAAATTATATTTTAATCATGTCAGCAGAATAAAAATGAGAATGCCTCTGTCAGTAACAGAGCATATTCAGTGTCTTCAGTTGGGCTAGAAATGTATAGGGAGGCCATATGAAGCTTAAGTACAATAATCCAACAAATGTTTAGCTTCATTAATGTCCAGCTAGGAACGTTCTTGAACCAGCAAAATAAATTGAGTTCAGCAACATATAATTCTGTCAGTGCAGTATGGTAGACACATCTATTAGGTGTCCTCCTGGTCTCACTTCTTTCAGCAGTCAGTTTTGAACAAAGCAGTTAACTTGCCTTTTAGGTAAAGGTTTCCCTTGACAATTTGTCCAGTCGTGTCCGACTCTAGAGGGCAGTACTCATCTCCGTTTCCAACCCATAGAACTGGCATTTTTGTCCGTAAACAATCTTCCGTGGTGACTAGACACAGAACGCCGTTACCTTCCCACCGTGGTGGTACCTATCTACTCGCATTTTTGCATGCTTTCGAACCGCTAGATTGGCGGGAGCTGGGACAAGCAACAGGGGTTCAGTCCATCGCGTAGATTCGATCTTACAACTGCAGGTCTTCTGACCTTGCAGCACAGAGGCTTCTGCGGTTTAACCTACAGTGCCACCATGTCCCCCAAGTTGCCTTTTACAATAGCACCGTGGTGGTACCTATCTACTCGCATTTTTGCATGCTTTCGAACCGCTAGATTGGCGGGAGCTGGGACAAGCAACAGGGGTTCAGTCCATCGCGTAGATTCGATCTTACAACTGCAGGTCTTCTGACCTTGCAGCACAGAGGCTTCTGCGGTTTAACCTACAGTGCCACCATGTCCCCCAAGTTGCCTTTTACAATAGGCTTCATTTTATTTTTATTTATTTATTTATTTGTTTGTTTGTTTACCTACCTACCTACCAGCCCACACTACCCAAAGGTCTCTGGGTGGCTTTATAATGCATGACTGTTGGTATGGGTATGCTAACCTTCCATTAGTTTCCAGATTGCAGGAAAAGATTGCCTTACATACAAGTTGGTTAATGTTAAGTTCAGGGTTGACAGCCCAACTTCAACCATTCCACTTTCCACCCAAGCAAGAGAAAACTGGGAAATGCTATTTAATTTCCAAATTGTTCCTTGCTTGAATGGATAATGGAATGGCTGCTCCAGCTGGGTTGTCTATCTCGAACTTAAAGTTAGCCAATGAAACAAGCACATTCAGTAGTAAGAACCAATATAAGTGTGTTGTCTCTTGATGACTAAGCAGTGCAAGGTAACATCAGTGCTGTATGTAACAAGCTTGAACTGAAACCTGAATATTTTCTGGAAATGTTGTAAATTAGGGATAATCTTTAATGGCTGGAACGTACATAGGTGTTGTTTTTAAACCCTTTTCTTCTTTCATAAAATACTATAGCTTAGTATTTAGGCGTTCAGTATCTTACTGGATTGTGTAATTCACTGTCTTCAAGATGTGGGTGGGGGTGAGACAAAAGTTGAAATAAATTTCATGAACACAAATACTTTTTGATTTCTAAATCTGTGGGCAGAACTGTGTGCTTTTTCTCTCCTGAATACATAATTAAATGTCACCGCCCTAAGCATTTGTCATGGAGATGTCTAAATAGCCCATATTTTGTATGATTACCTCTTGATAAAGTGTAAGTGAAATAAGTCCTGTATAAGAACTTCATTTTCGCATTCTTATTTTGACTTGTATTTTGGCAGTTTTATTGTATTTTTTTACTCTGTTATGTTCTGAAGTTTTTGATATTCCAGTGGTTTTATAATTTTTAATATTTAGCCCAAATATCAAATGTATGCTAAGAAAACTGGTTTTGAGTCTGCTGGTAGCATCCCAGAAGAAGCACAAAGCTGAGATTTTTTATTAAAAAAAACTTCCCATAAGGTCTTAAAATAAATGCATGATAAAGAGATTAAAAGGGGCTGATTTGGAGTGCAAAAGCATAGGGAAGCTTATTTGTATCTGCTTTAGGAAAAAGTGTCATTGTATCAAATGGCTTTATTCCTAGTATGGCTTATGTTAAGTTCTATACTGATGCTTTAAACTGGAGTAGTTATATTAGGGATGGCTATGGGATGCTTCTAGGATACTGTTAAGGAATTCTAAACAATCTCAGCTTTGTTACAACAAATATTGTAAAAGAAAAGAAAAATTGTGTAGCTCAAGCAAGCCTCTGAAAATAGCACATTAGGCAGAAAAAGATCCTAGTATGGCTTATGTTAAGTTCTATACTGATGCTTTAAACTGGAGTAGTTATATTAGGGATGGCTATGGGATGCTTCTAGGATACTGTTAAGGAATTCTAAACAATCTCAGCTTTGTTACAACAAATATTGTAAACGAAAAGAAAAATTGTGTAGCTCAAGCAAGCCTCTGAAAATAGCAAATTAGGCAGAAAAAGATGTACAGTGGTGCCTCGCTTAACGATGTTAATTGGTTCCAAAAAAACATCACTATGTCGCTTAACGATGTTAATTGGTTCCAAAAAAACATCGCTATGGGAAAACATCGTTAAGCGAAACACCATTTCCCATAGGAATGCATTGAACACCGGTTAATCCATTCCAATGGGAACGGATTGCCGTCCTTAAGCGAAAATCCCCATAGGAAACATCGCTAAGTGAAACAATGTTTCCCCCAAGGGAAAGCCATTCAAAAGCATTGAAGCCGGCTTCAGTGCTTTTGAATGGCTTTCCGATGTCTGTTTGCGCTCATTTTTAAGTGTCTTAAAATGTTTGAAACCTGTTTTAAATGCTTGGATTCGGTAGCGCACCTTGTGAAACATGTGCAAACTTAATTTGGGTTTGTTCTGAGTCTTCGTTAATTATTGGTGATTTTTTTGTTTTCCCCATGTGAATCCATTGAACTGTCCATTCAGAACTGTCCTAGGGGCAGAAAGGATGTTTTCTTTTGGACAGACGGCTCTTCCCAATATCACTGAGTCCATGTGGTTTGAAGGAGGAGATTCTGCCCTGCTCATTAGCTCACTTGTTCTGCCTAGCATGTCTTTGCCCAACAATGGCTTTGCTGTGTGGCTTCCTCCTTTACAATTAAGTCTTCAGCAACATTCACTAGTAGCCAATTACAGCTCGCTATAGCAATGCAGAAAATAATTTCAGTTTGGAGAGTGACCCCTTGATTTTCCTTTTCCCCTCAGTTCCTCCTCTGTCTGTTGTGAAAGAGATGGTCAAAAGGCTGCAGGAGTTACGCCACACTGAGCAAGTGCAAAGAGCTTATGCTCTTAATTGTGGAGAAGGGGCCACTGTCAGCTATGAGATTCAGATCCGTGTGTTGAGGGAATTTGGACTTTCTGATTCTGCTGCTGAGCTCTTGCAGGTATGAAATGGTGTCAATAAAAATGCCAGACATGCTGCTTTCCACTTTTTACTAACTTGAAAATGGGGCATGTGATTATATGTGCATATGAGAATGAATGTCTTTCTGTAAGAGAGGTTAATGAGAATTTGCAGTATTTTTCATTGGTATATTCAGGCAGGATAACAGAAGATAGGTTATATGAACAAAATGCATAGTGCAGCAAATTATTCCCAGTACACCTTTATGATGCTATATTTTGAAAGTTCCCAATGAGTTAACCATAGAAAAAATAAATGCATCTCAGAGTATGGAACTAAAGGAAGAATAGCAACAGTAATAAAGATGCTCTCTAAAGCTTATTGAACAAGGCCCAGACAATCTTAAGAATCCTAGTATAAAACCTGCAATGCCAAGCCAACATTTTTTCTTAATCTTGTAAACCCAAAAATGTGCTGCTGGAGAAAAAATAAATGGAACTTCAAATCAGTGTCTTCTCTGTTCTAAATAAAAAAGGAAGCCTGCTAACCAAAGAAAGAAGCACACTAAAATGGGTAAGAGATATAGAACACTTCATTTATTCCATAAAGGGAGCCACCCAGTGGTGGTCTATATGAGAAGGATTTGTGTGGACATATTTATACTGCTGGGAAATGAAAGAGGTGCCCACCAATAGAATCTGTATTTTGCCCCCGGGACACTTTGGCCAGGTATTTCTATAATTACTGCATGTGTCATTGTGTATATTTTGGGTTTCAGAATTATTGTCGTGTAAACCCAGTTGATATGGAAGAAGGAGGAAAGCAAGAAGTTTATTTTGCAACAGTAGAAGTAGAGCACAAATTCATGTTTGTGAAAACGTTGAACCCTGGGACTCTGTAAAAGCAAGTCCATAAAACTAAGTCATTCTCTGTCTTTACAAGAGAGGTCTAGATGAATTCTCCCATTTCTTGTATATTCTTTCTGTTGCAGAATCCTCACAAGTTCTTTCCTGATGAGCACTTTGGGGATGAAAGCCCGCTTTTGACCCTGAGACAGTCGGGACGGTGTCGTGTGAACAGCACACCCACAGCAGAAACCATGTTTACAGAACTCGACTCTTTTGTGGCCTTCCACCCACCATTGCCCCCTCCTCCACCTCCTTACCATCCACCAGCTACCCCAATCCACAACCAGTTCAAAGTGGGTTGGAAACCAAGGGGACAGGCTCAGCATCCCTCACGCTCCTTTTCTTATCCCTGCAACCATTCACTCTTTCAAGCCAGAACAGCACCTAAAGCAGCCCCACCCATCTATCTGTCTGGTGTCAAAGGCACACCCCCCGATTGCACTAACACTACAGGACTGGGAAGACAAACAGTTGCTGCTGCAGCCGCTGTGCTGGCTGCTGAGAAGCAAGTGGTAAGTATGCTGTTCACAAACTACATAACACCAGTGATGCTGTGAATAGTTGGATGTTAAATGGTGCAGTTCTGGTGAAGTAGACAGAATCTGGCCTTTAACATAGCCATTTGGAACTTGCTAATATAAAAAGAGTTAACTTTCTGCTTCATCCCAAAACAGTTGAGGGGTCATTATTATTCTTATTTATTTTTATTTATTTTATTTATATCCCGCCTATCTAGCCGATCAAGGCTACTCTTGCTCTGGACCGTTTCATAATAGTCCTTCGAGGTAGCTTAATACCCAAGGCAGAACACAAATAGCAGCCTCCCTCACTACCAGAGTGCATGTGAGAGAGAACTATCAATGTTTACCCTCAAACACCCCAACTCTTGATCGTAAACATTCTGTAATGGCAAATTAAATTTGCTGCAGTTTCATGACATCTAGAATCTCTTTCCTGAAACAGCTGCCTAGCTTTGCTTAACAGTAGGACTGGCCCTACTCACACATAACCAATCTGTAACTTCCCTCTATATCAGACACAAGCCTAGCAAGGCCTCGGGTTAAGTGTTCTGTGACATTTCGGGTTATCTTCATGACTTAATAGAGTTGTGCAGGTACTTGCCCAGTGTGGTGCCAGGAAGCACAACATCCATAACATAAAGCAAATCTGCCCTCAGCTTAAATAGAGGCAGAAGAATGTTTAATTAATTGCTAGAGAAATGAGTATTTTCTTTTCCAAACCTCTTCATTGTGAAATGCGAAGGTTGAGTAAATATGGGAGAACAGAGACAGTAACTTTAGTAAGACGGTCCTTAGCAGTGGTGGCTTGTTAATTAGGGAAGTGGGGCACTGTCCTACCTGAAGACAGGGCTTGCCCCAGCCATCCCTCTCCTGTCTGCCTCCCGACTAGAGACAGAAGGCCTCTGTTTGCTTGCCTGCATAACCCTTTCTGTGTTTGTGAAGTTTGCCTGTATGTTTGTAGACCCACTTTTGCTTCTGTCTCTGCCCACCATTAGTGGTTACCCATTCTGTCACACCTGCTACTGGTTCTTCACTATTGCCTTCATAAGTCTCCCCACCACCATCTCCAGCTTTTGAAAGTAATACTGAAACCTTCCTGAATGTTTCTGACTCATTACCTTACTTTTAAATTAACTTGTGTTCAGTTGGATATCTCATCACAATGTATTAAAGGGCAATTTGTGCCTTAATCCCTGAAGGCAAAGACCTTACAATTTCTGTAAGCCGCCCAGAGTGGTAGAATATACCAGATGGGCAGGATATAAATTGAACAAATAAAATAAATAAAAATAAATATGTGAAGACTAGGGTCACAGCCTTGTCTTTAAAAATGAAGAAAATGTAGCATTCAGTGTAAAAATTGTCTTGGTCCTTGTTATATAAAACACACTGCAGACAACATAAAGGCTGGCCTGGAACAAATAATTAAAATGTGGTTATTACGGTTTCAGAGATTTGGTGATAGTTGGGTGAATGTTCTAATAATGAACAAAGAACCTGGAGGTATATTTTCTTGTTCTTTAAGCAATTCCTGAGCTATAATGAAAGTTAAATTCACTTCCATTCCATTATGGGCAAAATTCTTTCCTTTTATAATTATTCCCAACAAAGATGTGTTGAAGTGTAGATTACAGTGGTGCCTCGCTTAGCAATCACTCCGTTGAGAGATGAAATCACTTTGCAATAGCCTTTTGGCCATCGTTGGAGCGATCACTTAGCGATGTCCCCTATGGCTAAAATTCACTTTGTGATGATTGCGGGGAAGCAATCATGGCAAAGCGAACTTTTTTAAACAGCTGATCAGCGGTTCCAAAATGGCCGCCGCAAAAACAAATGACCGCCGCTGTTTTGCCTCGCTTTACAGGCACCCAAAATGGCTGCCGCTATGGAGGAATTTCGCTTTAAGGTAAGTATTTAGCCCATAGGAACGTATTAAACGCATATTAATACGTTCCTATGGGCTTTTTAATATCACTTAGCGATTAAATCACTTAGCAATGTTTTTTCTGGAATGGATTAACATCGCTAAGTGAGGCACCACTGTATTTCCTACTACCCAATCTATTCCATTTGCTTGTCTGAGTAACAAGAAAACCATTTTATTGGACAAAGCTGCACAAATTCTGTCTGCGTGTTTCTGGTAGCTAGACTGAAATACATCTGCTATTAATTCATTTTAAAAGAAAGTTATTTCCCACCACATTCTTTGAACTCCTGAGTGTAGAGAGATCACTGTAGTTGATAGCCCTTATTTGCAAACTACCAACTTCAGCAGAATATCTGTTTCTTCCACTTGCCTGATTTGAATTTTTCTAAACTGGAGTCTGTAAAATATGACAAGCATGTCCTTGTTCGAAGTCAGAAGGGCTGGTCTTTTGCTGTTTTCTAAATTGATTAATTCACCAAATCATTTTGAAGAATTTGCGATTGGCATTGCTTCTTGTAACGTGGCTACTGAATTAGGTAATCCTACTTATAAGCAGTCCAAAATAAATCTCTAAAGGAGATGCTAGTTGTTTAGTGCACTGCAGGCATAAAAGCATTCTTTTAGATATTCTGTTTTCAGTTTTGAAGATTAGTATGCTACATGGTTGAGTTCTGATTTAGAGACTTAGGACCACTTCATCTGTAGCAATTTATGGCATTGATACCACTGTCTCCAAGCTTGTTATAGCTTCTGCCTGTTTTTCTGGCCAGATCTAAATGTCTAAAGGAAGTGATTTGGGAAACTAATCTTTATGGACAGCAAGTGTGGGATATTAGAAAGCAGCAAGAATCCTCTTGTACATTTACACTGGTGGAAGGGGAATGGTGTAACTCATGGTTGCAATTTGCTGCTAATTAATGAGTCCCCACTTGGATTGTTGGCCATGTACCAAGCCACCCAATTTAGTATGAAATGAAAAATCTAAGTGGTAACTCATTCATTAGCACAAATTTGCTAGAGCAAGTTATGCCATTTCTCTTTTGCTGGTGTCACACACAAAGACTTTGGTAACTTATGCCTTCTCAACATCCAATCTCTGTTGAAATTGAAAGACACTTTATATTCAACGTATTTTACATTCAGACAAACCAGTTGCAGCAGTTTGGGGGGAAAAACAGATAGAGTTCAGGGTCCTAGCCCTTAGCAGTAACTTTGATGAGCTTGGGTATTTTGTATGATAAAGTCCTCTGGGAATGAAAAATATAGTGCTTCTTATTGGAACATAAATAGTACAAATTAAAATAAATGGCTGTTCTGGTTTTTTCCCCTTAGGGCACTCAACCTGTGCTCAATGAGCTGATGCCAGATATTGCTATGGGAGTGTCAGCAATGTCTCTCAAGGACAGTAGACTGCCAGAGCTTACTGTTGACACTGAATTGAGCCAGCCAGTTTTGGAAGTTGGGCCAGGACCACCTCAACATATGTCCTGCATTCAGACAAGGCACATACACGGTTCCCGGAAAAAAAATTCAGTTGAACAAAAGCCAGAGACTCGAGACAATCTGCAGGAATATCCTGATTTCTATGATTTCTCCAGTACTGCCTGCAGACCTTCTACCCCTGCCCCTGCCAGGCACACGCCTTCGCCTTCACAAGGCATCTATTATGGCCCTGATTTGTATAGTCACAATAAAGCATCAGCTAGTGGCTTGAAGGCAACCCACCTATCTAATCACATCTCTCCTAAAAAGCTAGAAGACTCAAGGAGAGAGTATATGCTTTCTCAAGAAGGGCATCCACACAGACAAAAGAATGAACCAATACACCTTGATGTCTTAGAACAACCTCCCCAGCGGCTGGACTTGGCACTGGCTGCTCAAGAGAACACTGGGAATGTTCCCATCCATGCAAGAGGGCGATCAAAAATAGAAACTGACTTGACATTTGGACTAACCTCAAGCCGACCTTCTCTGCCTGCATATAGCTCAGAGATCCATGAAGAGCAATCCAACCGGAGATTGGCAGACATTGAGCCTCTGGAGCATGAAGCACAGAGAAGTGCAGATTTGGAAAGAGAAGAGGCAGTAAGTAGAGGAAGGAGGTCTCCAAGCAAACCTGACTTCCTGTACAAAAAGTCCGCCCTCTGAAAACCACCTCCACTTTTTTTCTGTGCCTAAGAGTTGTGAAATAACCAGTCTTTGCAGTCCTTGGCCTGACATTTGTTGGCCATGTTCATTTAAATGCCAGCAGCTACATTACTTTTTATTTTTGTATATACATTGCTTCATTAGAGATGGCATGTAACCAGTTTATTTGGAATGCTGCTTCTGGGTTTGTGTTCGGAACAGATTTTGTTACAACATCTTTAAAAAAAATTAGATGGCACCTTTAAAAATATAAATATAAGGTAGCCTTTTGCACCTGTACATTCATTTTATTACTTTTTGTGTTAGTATGTTTAAACTTTTATTGTCATATTCTAAAGGACTGTATGTTCATATTCTTCTGGGTGACTTTTTTTAAAAAAATCTTTCACCTCCGTGTTTCATGTGTGCATTGGGTTGCATACTTGAGATGTATTTTCTTATAAGATGGTGGCAATGTCTGTCTTTATTTTTGAATAACTATAAGAATTCCAAAGAACAGCACATCTAAATAATTGCTCTGGTTAGGTCAAAACCTTCCTGGTCTACCACTAGCATAAAAATCCAGCCTAGTTTGTATGTTCTGTTTACCAAGTCCATGGCAGCTGGCCTTCATATTGATGTAGCAAGCACTCACCCATGTTTGTGAATGGGATTTTCTGTGGAAATGAATACAACTCATCTAGGGCTCCCCTTTTCCTTTTTGGAACACAGAACCTCTGATAAGCACTTATACCACCATCACCACCTCCACCACCTTTTCTTTGAATCCCTCTGTGCAGATTGAAACAGTATTGCAAATACCCTCAAGTTTTCCTTTTTATTAGGAAACTCAAAGATGAGAAGAGTCCATTTCAACTGCAGGAGGTGAGATTCTCTTGAAGATCTGGCAGTGGTGTTAATTTGCTACCCTATCAGAGCAGGTTGCCTCTCAAAGAGACACTTGAGAGGGCTGATTACTGCCTTTTTTTGTTCTGCCTCGTTAATAAGAAACCAAGGGCTTCAGTCTTGGTTGATACCATTGAGTGCTCCTGACACTATAAAATTTCTTGCTTTGTGGATGGAAATTCCAAATTGAGGAATAACAGCAGTTAAACTTTGTTAGCTGTAAGCTTTTGAGCACTTAATTTATTTGCCCCAAGCTCTTGAATATGTTTGTGGGGTTTAGTTATTATAGATGGTGTGAAGTGTGTCGTTTAATGAACACAAAATCAAAGGCATGGGGCTGATGGTTCAGACATGTTTAGCCATGTCTCTTGCCACTAATGATTTAACCGTATATTTTCCTTTGCAAGTGCTGGAAAAAAAATTCAGTACCACTGTGTGGTAACTTGTTAATGAATGGCTGACTAGAGATGATGGTCAGCTTCAGAATTTAGCTCTTCCATCACCTGAACACCTCAGTCAGAATATTAAATAACAAATCTGACTTTGTTTCTAGATACTTGACACATTGTTGGCATGTAAACTTTGTTTCAACAGTTAATCATACTTTTGTCTTTCATTCTGGGGGGGAGCATCAGTTTCCCCCTTTTTGTCTTCATTCCTATCCTTTGGGGTGGGGTGGGTAACACTGTTAAAAGAAAAAGAAGTTCTAGAGGTCTGTGTGTGTGTGTGCGTGTGCATGCGCGTGCATGCATGCACGCATTTATATGAGAGAAGATAATCTTATCCAGGAAGTTTACACTACATTAATGCGTGTGTTGCAGCTATACAAAATGTAAAGCCTTTCATCTTATGCCTTTTAAAATATGTTCTGTGATGAGTTGAATTACACAGCATGACTGCTGTGGCGGGCTAAATACTTACTCAGTGCCATCTGTCAGGCTTCTCATTTAGTTGACCTTCTGGCAGGGCAGACATGGTGCCATTTTAGCCCAATCAGCGGAACTCTGCTCCTTCGCACTCTCTTCTGTGTTCTTTGGATTGGCGCTTCAATGTTTGGCTTTCCTTTTAAAAGAAAAGTAAAAACCAGACTGTAAGTAAAGATCAAACCCTGCCATCTTTCATGATGCAGAAATTGATGATTTTTTAATATTTATAGTGGTATTTTAGAAAACTTAAAAGGTTATCTAAAAGGAATGAACAAAGGAAAAAAGGTTGTCTTTGTTCTAGTAGTTTGTCTGTTCACGTACACGCTGATTTTAAACTAAATCTTCCAAACAAGAACTCACAGAGAAGCCTATGTCTTCATTGTGGATTTTTACTGTCCTGTTTTAGTCAGCTTGTTTGGGCCAGTTTACTTTGGTAAATTGGTAGTGTAATGTGTTATGCTTGAGACTCGGCAGCTAAATTTCCTTAGTGGCTGTAGCGTCCTCCTTCAGCGTAGTAGGGCTCCCTCCATTTGACTACACCCCCCCACCAGCTCTGACCATGGTTTCCATTGGTTGTACTGAAGCTAGTTTTCCAATACATTTGGAGGAATCAGGCTGTAGAGGGCTGTGTAGATTTGAGACAGGTGATCAATCAGGATTTAGTTGACACATTTTTAAAAATAGGCAAGAATCTTAAAATTATTTTGGTTCTCCAGAAAACAGAATCATAGTGTTGGAAATCAAGCCACTTCATAGTAAGAGTTGGGAACTCACTGTCTTGGATTATAAATCCCACAGTACCTTAATACTGTATGCAGGGGATACTGTGGAAGTTGTTATTCAGAAAAGTAACATTCCCCTTTTCTTTTCACAACATAGGAGTTATATTGTTGTTGTTTAGTCGTTAAGTCATGTCCGACTCTTCATGACCCCATGGACCAGAGTACACCAGGCCCTCCTGTCTTCCAGAGCCTCCCGGAGTTGGGTCAAATTCATGTTTGTAGCTTCGATGACAATGTCCAACCATCTCATCCTCTGATGTCCCCTTCTCCTCTTGCCTTCACACTTTCCCAACGTCAGGGTCTTTTCCAGGGAGTCTTCTCATGAGTGGCCAAAGTATTGGAACCTCAGCTTCAGGATCTGTCCTTCCAGTGAGCACTCAGGGTTGATTTCCTTTAGAATGGATAGGTTTGTTCTCTTTGCAGTCCAGGGGACTCTCAAGAGTCTCCTCCAGCACCACAATTCAAAAGCATCAATTCTTTGGTGGTCAGCCTTCTTTATTGTCCAGCTCTCACTTCCAGACATGGCTACTGGAAAAACCATAGGTTTGACTATGCGGACCTTTGTTGGCAAGGTGATGTCTCTGCTTTTTAAGATGCTGTCTAGGTTTGTCATGGCTTTCCTCCCAAGAAGCAGGCGTCTTTTAATTTCATGGCTGCTGTCTCCATCTGCAGTGATCATGGAACCCAAGAAAGTAAAATCTGTCACTGCCTCCATATCTTCCCCTTCTGTTTGCTAGGAGGTGATGGGGCCAGTGGCCATGATCTTAGTTTTTTTGATGTTGAGCTTCAGACCATTTTTGCACTCTCCTCTTTCACCCTCATTAAGAGGTTCTTTAATTCCTCCTCACTTTCTGCCATCAGAGTTGTATCATCTGTGTATCTGAGGTTGTTATATTTTTTCTGGCAATCTTAATTCTGGTTTGGGATTCCTCCAGTCCTGCCTTCCGCATGATGCATTCTGCATATAAGTTAAATAAGCTGGGAGACAATATACAGCCTTGTCGTACTTCTTTCCCAATTTTGAACCAATCAGTTGTTCCATATCCAGTTCTAACTGTTGCTTCCTGTCCCACATATAGATTTCTCAGGAGATAGATAAGCTTGCATGAAGTTGGAAAGATGAAATTGGAAAAAACAATGCCTGGAGAGAAATAGTTTGAGGTAGCAAGGTACTGGCTTTTTACTTCTAGGGCTTTTAAAGACTTTGTATTTTCTTTTAATGTATAAACAGCACACTACTCCCCATTTTGGTTCTTTTCTTGTTAAACTTGATCCACTTCCCTCACAGTTGTATGATGAGTTTGGTCTGATCAGTGGAACCTTTGCAAGACTCCTTGATCCGCAGTTACTGACCTTACAGTCTCTTACATTCCTCATGTGCTTCCTTAAGAGAAGGCACCTTTATTTTACTTTGTATACATAGCTTAAGAATACATAACCCAGTAAGGTCAGAGGAATGCAGCTACTCTGTCAAGAGTTTAATTTGGCCTGAAAATGATGAAACATGATTTACTGTCATAATTGAAATAATTTTACATTCTGCTGAGCACAGTTTACTCACAACCTCAGTTATTTAGAGTTTGTGTTCTCCAAAAAAGTAGATGAAGCAACATGCAAGTCCCTCCTGTTCAGTGTTGTGGTCATCAGTAACTACGCCATGCCTGGCATTTTCAATGTACAGTACAGTTTTGGCATCTTTAAGAAACAATCTTTTCATTTCATGAAGCACTTTGAATAAATTGGAAATCAGAGTATTCAATAGTCAAACAGCTGTGGTTTTGAAAGGAATAATTGCTCACTGAACAATTGGTATATGATGAAAGAAGCTTCAATGTGGAAACTTACAACTATATTCTTGGCCCTTTTTTACTACGGTAGTGCAGAAGCTTGTCCAAAACTGGTTTGGTACACATCCCTACTAAGAAGAGTATTGCATGTTCTAATCTAAGGCCGAGATCAAAGTGTGTTCAAACAATCTGCTTCCAGGCACACACATACAGTATGTGTTTAATGTTTTTAAAAATATATTTTTTAAAGCAAAGTGTTACTCAGCCGATGGCTTTAGGGGAGGTGGGGCCTGCTACCCAGAGAGAAAGTTGCAAAGTCACTGTGCAAACATGATATTTAGATCCCAGCCATCTAAAAAAATATACAATAGGAGTAATCTTTGTCACACTTTACAGTAACTGCCTCAGTAGCAATTTACATGTTTCATGTTTTAATTTCCATCTTTTAAGTGTTTTTTTTCCTGCCTCTAATAAGAGATGAAAAAACTGGCCCTTTCTTGCTTGTTGTGGGTTTGGGATATTATGGACCCCTTTCCGCCTTTTACATAACTTATTTTGAAATGGGCTGCAGATGGCACTATTATTCTTGCTTCTCCCAGTGACTGTGTGTTTATATAGTGGAGGGCTATGTGTGGAATATTGGGAGAAGTGGAATAAAACAACATTTGGTATTTCTGTACTAGTATGTATTTCTGGAAGGTGTTATCTGTCCACGATGTTAATGTTGTTCTTGTGCTGTTACTGGTATAAAGTCAAGTGCCTTCAATGCTAAAGGCTCAGAAATTTTCTTAAACCAACTTCATGTCCTATGCAAGTGTTTTTTCTACAACATGCATAACCAGTACTTTGTAAAACTTGTTTATGCTTCAATTGTACATATTGGTTTTTAAAGAAAATAGAGTATTTTTATTTAGGTACCTCTAGAATTGAATTCTAGTCTTGTGTGATGCATTGTAAAACAATACATTTCTCTTTTGAGTACCATTACAGTTGTAAAAAGGTTTTCACTGGTTCTATTTTTCTACTGTTGCTGAGAAGCATGTTAACACTGAATTTATCCTACATATAGTTGGTATTTCAAATAAATGGCTTGTCTACAAAAATGCATTCATAAAATGTCTTTGATTTAGTCAGCGGATAAAACAACTATGTCTCTGTATGAAGCTAAATTATGGAAACCTCCAGAATATCGAAGCACATCTTGATTACTGTGCACAGCTGCCAAACATAACCTCTTATTATATACATTTCCTGTTGTTTAAGTACCAACTTCTTAATACAACACAAAGGGTACAGCAGCCCCCAATCAGGCTCTTCTCCTCCCCTGATGTTCAGAAAATTGGGGGAAACAGGATTATACAAAGCTGCCTCCAATAACTGATGCTGTTAATAATAATTTTTGATTTTTTTTAAATTTTCTTGGTCTTTTAGTATGAATTTTATATGTATACCTGTGAGTCACCATGTTGTTGAATGTATTGTCGAAAGAAATAAATAATATTGAGAACAATTCAGATGATACAAGCATCAGAAAGCAGGGAGATTAGAAGCAAAAGCTGGGCATGGCATGGTGGAAAACCTCAGTATATAGACTGAGAGTAGGATGTGTCATAAATAGACTTGAGGTGGTAGATGTGAGAAACACCTCAAGTTACTCTTCCACCCTAGTATTCATCTTAAAGCCATTACAAACTAGTCTTCAGGGCTTTTCTAGATTTTCCAGTCTCCTCTCCCCTCCCTTTAGGTTAACACTGAGATTGAAGATTTCTTGAGAAGTCAAAAGCTTGCTCTTTTTCTTTTAAAGATTTATTTGATCCTAGAAAATGTGTTACTCCACAGTTGCTTTCAGATTCGTTTTGCCTAACAATTACTCACTTTGCTTAGTAGGAACACAAGAGTCCTCCTGGATCAGGCCATCTAGTCTAGCTTCCTGTATCTCACAGCAGCCCCACCAGATGACTCTGGGAACACATGAGACAACTAGATGCCTCTCTCCTGATATTCCTCCCCTGCATCTGGCATTTTTGAAGTACCTTCCTTTTAAGCTTATACATCCCCATCATGGCTTGTAACCTGCAATGGCCTTTTCCTCCAGAAGTCTGTCCAATTCTCTTTTCAAGGCATCTAAGCCAGATGCCACCACCACATCCTGTGGCAAGGAGTTCCACAGACTAACAACATGCTGTGTAAAGAAATATTTTATTTTTTCTGTTCTCACTCTCCCAACACTCAATTTGAGTGGATGTCCCCTGGTTCTAGTATTGTGTGAGAGGGGAAAGAGCTTCCCTCTCTTTCATGTCAGAATTAGAGGGAGGGAAGATACTCGGTTTAATATGAATAACTTTGTTACTAGGAGAGAAGATGCTTGTTTTTTTGCCCTAGGGCCCAAAAATTGATTCATTGAAAAGTGTATCAAGGGGCAACATGCCAGCTATGGGTAGGGCTGTCACATTGCTAGTGAGTAATCACTAATATGATTATCCAGATTAAATTTACTAACACACAACCGTTCTTCTGCAATTATTTGTGCCAATAGTTGTTAAAAATATATGATGGCTGAGTGCAAAAGGCATTAGAGTTTGGGGTATTACCCTTCCAGCAGCAACACCTCTCCAAATGCTCCCTGCCACCCTCCAGCTACAAATTGCCCAAAAGCCTCACTGCAGGAGGAAGGGGTAAAATTCCCTTCTAAGCGGATATAAGGGCAGCATGAAACCTCAACAAACCTGTATGAACCAGACTCCCAAACTGAGCTGCAGCAAGTCCTATTTGGTAACTAGTGTTTCAGATAATCATGCAAGTCTTATATACAGTAGTTTCAGAGAGAAATAGATACTGCCACAGTATTGCACATAAATGAATATCACTAATCTCTAAATACAATCGTTTTGGAAATTTGCTACACCATAATCTGCAGATTAAAACATCAGTTTATAATCCAGTATAATTCTAGGGATAATGAAAGATTGAACTATAAAAATAGTAGGCTAGGAATCAGTTCGCCCTATACAAAGTATTGAAAGTGGAATTGCATCCCATCTACAGTGTGCCATACAGCATAATGGAGAAAATAACTTGCATTTGGTCATCATGGTATCTATAGGTGCTGAGAAAAATGAGAGGGAATGGTATGGCCTGCTATGTAGAAAGGGAGAAGATTTACAGTAGCTAATTTATAATTTTATTGGCATGAACCAACTACTGGGATGAGAAAACTACAAGAAAGATAAGCCGAAGAACAACAGAAATCAGCAGTTCCTCCAATGAAGCAAGTTCAGTACTATGATTGTCCATCAAATGCATATTATATACTTCAGAACAAAAAAGGCAAGAGCCAATGTGGCCCCAAAGATAACTCAAATGCAAGAATAATACGTTTTATTGGACCACTAAAAATAAAACAAATAGCAAGCTTTCGTGGACGAAATCCACTTCATTAGGCTCCAAGCACGCCCTCTTTCTGTCTCTGCATTAAGGTTTAGAATTTTTACATCCTAGCTCTGGAGACCAAAAGGCTGCTAATTACCCTATGATCACCCCCCTCCTCACTCTCTCCTGTTGCTTGCTTGAAAAAAAAGCTTCCTTTAGCTGTGGGTGTGGGGAAAGACAAAACAAAGACAAAGCAGCTTTCAGCACAAGTCAGGGCCCACAATTTGATTCATTCACCAGGTAGAAATTATATATTATTTACTTTAAATGATAACATAGCACCTATAAGTAAAATTTTTATTTGCAATATGCTTTTTAATGTCTAAGAACAATTCAGATGAATTGAGTGGTCATGTCTTTGGACAAAGTATAAAACCGAAGGGAACTTGGACAAAGGCTTTTGAAAAATAGAAATTAGTTCACCTTAAAGTGTTACATAACTATCTCTTTTGTTACAAACAGAAAATACAATTTGCTACATTTTACTATCTACTTGCTCCTCAAACTCTTTTAGTGCTTTTGAAAACATTTCATTTCCTTGCTAGTTAGTACAAATGTTGTACAATATAGTTAAGGTTAATGGGCATTAAGCATCTCCTGCTTACACAGTGACACTGACTTAAGGCCTTCCATTGCTCTTACTGAATGGAAGATGTGTTTGACTTGGAAGAATGGGCATGTAAGATAGTTTTAAGAAAGGAAAAGAACGAAAATGTAAATTACTAGGTTTTAGTAAGGGATTTTATATTAGTACAGTGGTGACCCGCTTGACAATGTGTTCCAGCAAAATCGCTGTTAAACGAAATCGTCAAGCGGGAAAAAAGCCCATTGAAATGCTTTGAAAACCGGTCAATGCGTTCCAATGGGGTTAATACCTGATCATGCAGTGAAGATCCTCCATAGGGTGACCATTTTCCACTCCCTATCTCGCGAAATGAGGTCAGCAAAACAGCAACGAGCCACTTTGAGAGCCACCGATCAGCTGTTTTTAATCGTTAAGTGAAAAAACCCATACAAACATCATCTTTTGAGAGCCACTGATCAGCTGTTTTTAATCGTCCTTAAGCGAAAAAACCAATACAAACATCATCTTGCGATCACTATAGCGATTGCAAAATACTCATCATCAAGCAATTTCGTCATCTAATGGGGTAATCGTCAAGCGGGGCACCACTGTAAATGCTTCACTCACACTGTATATTAAAAACAAATAAATGCCACTGCAAAATACAAGTGATATGAAATCATAATCATATTACTAGAGCCTGCTCCACCATGCATACCTCCCAAACACTTCTGAAGCTGGCAGCAAGTCTCTATTTCCTCTCCATTCTGAATTCACCAAGCAGGGCCTCTTTCAGCTAGAGATGTATTATTGGTTATTAGAAACAATTAGAGACAGACATATCCTGAATCTTTTAACTGGGCATTTCTCAGAAAGCCTGTACAAGGATTGATTCACTCCAAATGCATTCCACCAGCCAGTTTTTCCTTTCCTCAAAATCTCAGGATTACTGATTCAGGGATGTATGAGTATGTACACCATAACTTAAAATTTCTTTTTTTAAAGCTCCATGTTGCAAAGTCTATATTGAATGGTTTCTGCATTGTTATTAAAGGTTGCAAAGTGACAACATACAATAGCTTTCTATTAGGACATTCTTAGTAATGGTTCAAGATGAAGTGAAGGGCTGAGGAATACCCATTTTCTCATGAGACAGTATGTGTGGGCAAGTGGTGAGGGGCAGCTCTAAATGAACCAGACTCATGCTGCAGAAAAAGTCAGAGATTGTGGCTTAATATTTAAGCTATTTCCCATCATTCCAAAATTCATCAGACATCACTACATCACTAATGACAACCATTTTATTAAGATGTGAAAGTACACAAAATGTGAGTGCTATGAATCATACAGAATTATTTGCCTGAGTAGTTAGGAAGATGACCATGTTAACCAATATCTGATCACTGGTGCAGAAACCCTCTGCAGTACTATTGGGTTGAGTTTATTATCAAAGGTGAAAGCTTCTTATTTTACAGTTTGGTAAACAGCAACCCCAATTAAACATTTACAAACTAGAACAATTATATAAACTTCCAGAGATTCTTTGCATTCTAAAAAAAAGTATTAATCTAATAATACCACCCATCCAACAGAGAGCAGTTTATTTACAGTCTGTGCAGGCAGGAGATTAACATATATTGTAAGTAATTTCACTAAAAAAAATATTCTGTACATTATTTTCCATCAAAGAACTACTGTCTGAAATATGTACTGTGTCTAAAGAACAGTCATTGGTTTATAATTTTATCTAAAAGTTCTTCTGCAACAGGTTCAATAATTCACATTTTGAGCCTTCAAGCCTTATCTAACAGCAATAGCGAACATCATGCTTTGTACCAAAAATGAATAAAAATACACTTACATTGAGCATTTATGAACTGCCATATTAAAACTGAGATGTTTATGTGAATGCTGAACACTGACCTATCAAGGACATTCATGTAGGCTTTCCCCTATGAATAATTCTTTCATCATAGCAGCTTAGGAGGATTTTGGGTACTTTCTAGTTATATACTAACCACTCCACTCTTCTTTAACACAAAACGAGTGACATTGTGAGAATCCATGATCTTGTTACTTTTCAGGCATGAAATCAGAACATGTTTAAGATGGATAAGCAAGAAAAACTTTCTTGTAGGACAGAAGCCAAGATAAATAAATTGGATTAAACTAAGAGATGCATAAAAAGCTAGCAGAGGAGGAAAAAGCTTCTCCTTAAGACTTTCAAGGTGATCTAGCTACAGTAGTACTGCATCCGATCTGTTCTTCTCCTCTTTCGAGATTGGAATTCTTCAAAAAATTGCTGAATATCCTCTCTCTTAACAACCTGTTGGCAAACAAGAGTAAGTGAAAATGAATGAAACCAATACAGCAATGATTTTAATATATGGAAATATGTGACAATTAAATGGATTTATATAATATATGGAAATATGTGACAATTAAATGAATTTATGTTAAGTTTTTATAGACTACAGTTTATTTCTATGCATGAAACATAGCCTAGATCCATTTCAATCAGGGTTTAGGCTACACAATGAAGCTGAAACTCCACTGGTCACCCTGCAAGATGATATCCTGAGAAAGGAAGACGGGGTGGTTCTCTTGGATACTGCCGACCACAATATTCTTTTGATATCTGAGGGCTCCATCCTTTGTTGGCTCCAGTCCTTCCTTGACAGCCAATCTCAGATGGTACAGCTTGGTGAGGTTACAGTTTCCCCCAATGCTTTTCAATACCTATATGAAGCTGCTCATACAGAGATCTGGAGTTTGCTGCCATCAATATATGGATAATATAGAGCTTTATCGCTCCTTTGCTTTATCTGCATGTGATGGGGTTCATGTCCTTGAGTGTTGTCTAGTGTCAATAATGGACTGGGAAAGGGCCAACAAACTGAAACTGAATCTGGAAAAGAGGAAGATCCTACATTGTTGGGAAGACATATCACCTATCTTGGCACACCTTCACTGGCTCTCTGTTAGTTCCCATGCTCAATTCAAGGTGTTGCTCATTACCTATAAAGTCTTAACAATTTAGGTACATGATACTTGTTGGAATGTCTCTCCTACAAACAGCTACCCATTCCACCCACTCCTCACAGTTCATGATGTTAAAAATAGTGACACCTAAGGACACCAAAAGAATTAATATTAGGAACCACTTTTTTTGGTTATGGCTCCTTCCCTTTGGAACAAGCTCCCAAGAGAGGCTTGCCAGGCACCTTCCCTCTCATTTTTAAAAAGGTTTGTAAAGCCACCTGTTACTAGTGCTTTTCTCTACAGGAGATGTTCAAATCTGTTTTAAGTTGTTTAATTCTATTTAGACAAAGGTTAAACAGTAGTTAAAACAGAGGATTAACTACTTATGATTTTCATTGTATGGTTATTTTTTTTCTTATTTTACGTGATTTCAGTATGTTGTGAACTGCCCAGTGTATGCGTTATGAGGCAGTATACAAGTTTGTTTAAACAAACGAACACACACACACACACTTTAGCCAGTGGCAACTGTTTCTGGAATATTTGCTCTACAAAGGCACTTTCACTCAAATCAAGGCCACTTCTCATATAAGTGATCCTCTAAATCAGTGATCCTCAACCTTGGCCCTCCAGATGTTCTTGGACAACAGCTCCCAGAAGCCTTCACTACCACCTCTGCTGGCCAGGATTTCTGGGAGTTGAAGTCCAAGAACATCTGGAGGCCCAAGGCTGGGGACCACTGCTCTAAATCACTGGTTCTTAACCTTGAGTTACTCAGGAGTTTTGGACTGCAACTCCCAGAAGCTTTCACCACCAACTGTGCTGGCTGGGGTTTCTGGGAGTTGCAGTTCAAAAACATCCAAGTAACAAAGGTTAAGAAACACTGCTCTAAATGATCTGCAATTTAACAATTTCACATTGGAGTTTCCATTTGTACTTTATTTTAAATTAGATGTTCATAATGTTCTGGGAAGCTAAAGAGCTGTCCCATTGCTTCTGTTGTCCCACTTATATCCTTTTTTTTCTTTTGAATAGACTGCGCTGTTTATCAAATAACAAACTGATGTGAAGATTTTATAATGGCAAAAGACCTAAAAATTAAGGTGTCCAGTTTCTGGGGCTCTTTTGAGGCTTGGAAAGCAAAAGACCTAAAAATTAAGGTGTCCAATAGCTAGTGCTGCTTTATAACAGTTTTCTTGTTACATAGCTCTTACATTTCTTTTTCGTCTTTATCTACTCTTCTGCTCAACTTGAGTTAAACTTTTCTGGAACATCTTTAAATAACTGATGGCTTTGGAAGTCAAGTATTAATAATAAACAGAGAGACAATGATCATATGCCGAGTGCTTCTTCATCTTCACTAAATAAGAGCAACCAGAAGCTCCTACACCAAGATCTCTGATTTTCAAGCAGGTATGCTAAATGGTTAAAATTGAACAATGGGAAGTTAGCACTGTCTCAGAGAGAGGAAAACCATGGAGGAAGAAAGGAACAGAACAAACAAGAATATGCCAAATGAGAATCAAAGAGCTTGTTTCCTACGGACAGGATTGGCCTTCATTACTTCATTCTACAGTGGTGCCTCGCTTCACAATTTTAATTGGTGCCAAAAAATTCATCGCTATGGGAAAACATTGTTAAGCGAAACGCGTTTTCCCATAGAGATGCATTGAAAACCGGATGATCCGTTCCAATGGAAACAGATTGCTGTCCTTAAGCGAAAATCACCATAGGAAACATCGCTAAGCGAAACGCGGTTCCCCCATTGGAATGCATTGAAACCTTTTCAATGCATTTCAATGGGGGAGAAAAAAATAACCAAAAATTCAAAAAGAGTCAGAACAACGCCAAATTTGGTTAACAAAGGGTTTATTAAGTGCACTAACGATTTCAAGCACTCTAAACCCTTTTAAACAATTTAACACCTTTTAAAAATAGCGAAAACAGAGCTGTCAAAAACACTGCTAAGCGAAACAGGGGGACCTAAACTGTCATCGTTAAGTGAAGCAAGGTCCCGAACATAGCTATGCGAAATTCCCCCATTGGAAACATCACTAAACGGAGCGCAAGATCGCTCCTAAAACCTCATTGCTAAGCAAATACATCGTTAAACGAGGCAATCACTAAGCGAGGCACCACTGTATATAATTTACAGAGTTTATCAGCTTATAATTCTCTCTTTAGCTTATTCATTCATATCAATGCCACCTCTTCCCCAAAACTGGGACCCAAGAAGGTTTAACAATACAATTAAAAAACAACATGGAATTAAAATACAATAAAATACAAACACTGAAATAGACTTAAATTCATAGGCTGAAATCCTGTTGTACAGTTATTGGAAACAGTTTAACTTTTGGAAGCAAATTACTCTAAGTTAAGAAATCTCCACAGACATTATCTGTTGCACATTGAGTCACCCAATTTAGTATACAGCAAATATGGTCTTAAGAAATTTCATAACTTACAGCAATTTGCCTCTAGAAGTTAACACCATTTGGATAACTGCAAAATATTTTCACCCAGTATGTTACCAAAAGGCAATTAAAATTAAAACATTTTAAAATCATTACTAAAATACTAACAGCCTTAAAAGAAGAAAAGTGGCACATTGGCTGAAATCTTATGATTTGGGCCTCTTAACTGCACTATTCAGAAACCACTTCTGAATATTTCATACCTTGAAAACCCCACAATGACACAATCCAAAATCAAATAAGAGAGTACTTTAAAATGAGACTCCCAGATCAGAAGATACTCAATCAGTTACTGTGGAAGAATAAAAGGCAAGTACAAATAGCTTTGTTGCTAAAGAAGCAATCAGATTAAAGCCAAAAATGGTTGATGCAGAGACAAAACAAAAGTCCGATATAGACAAGACATATACTTGAATCATGGAAGTAACAAGTATGAATCAAAGTAAACCCAGACCCATAAAAGAAGAAATGAATGTTTAAACATTCCAGAAACCTGGTGTAAACAAACTAAAGTGGACTGGAATGGGGCTTTTTTAGTCTGACATTTACAAGATGTTCTAGTCTGGAAATGACAACCTCAGAAAAAACACTGTAGCTCTAATACTAAGGCAAGATATATTGCAATAGTTAGGGGATATAATGCAAAGTCTGACCAAACAATACCAATCAGACATATAGGAAAAGTAACCAATTAGCCATAATTCATGCCTATACTGCAATTACCGATACTGAAAAAGAAGAAATTGAAAGCATTTATGCCAGCGTCCATGAGGAAACTGATCATACATACACCAAAACAGCATTGCTGATGGTCATATGTGACTGGAACACAAAAGTAAGAAGCAAAGCAGAACCACATGTTGTTGGCTCAGGAGTCAGAAACAAAGCAGGACAAGTCTGTGAAGCCAACAACCTGTTTATTGGAAAAATATGTTTCAGGCAACTGAATGGATTACTACACACATGGACATCACCAGATACCAAAATAAAATACATAATAGGAAGTAGCAGATGAACTGTATTCTCTTTGCCATAACAAGATAAAAAACAAACAGTGGTACTGACCTCAAACTGCTAGTATGGAAAAAAAAAACATGGTAAAGCTGAAGAATACTACAAAGATTAAATGTCAAAACATAATTTGAATGATATTTCTTTTGAATTTAAATTCCATATTAAAAGTAGGTTCGTATTACTAAACACGAACTTGCTGAACTGACTGTGAAACAGAAGAACTGAGGATCAATAAATACTGAAAATTTTTAAGAGGTGAGAAGCAAAAGTAAAAGGTTTCAGAAATAAGATCAAAATCTGAAATGCAACTTGTTAGCAACAATCATTTAGAGACAAAGAGAACTATTATAATAATTGAAGAAATCAACAAAGAAGGAAAAACAAGAGATCCCTTCCATAAGATCCAAGAAATCGAAGGGAAATTGAAACCAAGATTAGGGATGCTGAAAGATGAACAGGGGAACACACTATCTGACTGGGATAAAATTTGGAAGAGCCAATAGAGATCACACTGGAACTATACATAAGAATTACAGAAAATCAGTCTAGGCACTGGCTTCCAACCTTGGATAACCCAGGTTTCCTTGGACTGCAACTCCCAGAAACCCCAACAAGCACAATGGGTGGTGAAAGCTTCTGGAAACCGCAATAGAAGAACACCTTAGTTATTCAAGGCTGGGAAACGCGGGTACATGGTATATAGACTGCACAAAGGACTTTGTGTGTAATGAAAAGCTAAGGGCTGTTCTAAAAGAAAGGTGTGTGCCTGAACATTTGCAATCTGTCCTAAAGAGTCCAGTGTTTAGCATCTTTCTAAATGTGAGAAAGGATGGTGACCGGCAAACCACCAATGTTCGCTTGTTCCACAATAAGGGGGTCAAAGCAGAAAACATTAAATTCTAGTTGGAGATGTTCTGGCCTCTCCTGGCACCATCACTTTCAACTACATTTGTTGTGTATAGTGAAGGGGGGATTGTTTCATAGAGAGAGATTCCATTAGATAGTAACTTCATACATAGGACACAAATATTAAATACATTATTTTAGATAAATGTAACATGAGATGTCAAAATAATTCTCATCAATTAACATCACTTTCCATCTAACACTGCTCTGCTGGTTTTAGTCTTGCTGCCCATTAGGCTCTACCGAGGTGCCTCCTAGGAAACACTGCCACAGCTTCCTTTTTTATATACCAAAAAAAAAAGCAGAGGCTGGAAAAGGCCATGCAAGCCATGGGGGTAGGCCCTTCTCCAGGTGAGTGAAACATAGGTGTCTACAGATGTTGCACACTTTCCTGTTTGCACACTTGCTGCTTGCTAATTTAATTCTTCACACATTTATGCAATCATCTGTGGCTGCTACTGGAGTCGGTTGTTTTCCAGTTTTCCAAGAACACCTTAATAACTGTCAATTGAATATAAAGATATATACTCACTGTTCCTTCATCTGCAAATCTTCTCAAGTAGTCTGTCAGTTCTGTCTTCAGATCATTGTATTCTGGACAAAATTTTAAAAAGTTGGATTGCATTTGTACTTTTATTTCAGTGAGTAAACTCCTTACTGTACTATACCTGTCTAAGTTGGTTCCAACGAAAGCTCACTATTTTAGCTGTATTGTTTCCTTTTCTCCTTGTTTTTTTAAGCCTCTAACATATACAGTGGTGCCCCGCATAGCGACGATAATCCGTTCCAGAAAAATCGTCGCTATACGGATTCGTCGCTATTCGGGGAGAAAAAGCCCATAGGAATGCATTAAAACGCGTTATGCGAAAATCCTCCATACGGCTGTCATTTTCATTGCCCGGAAAGCGAGGAATGGGCGCAAAAACAAAGCGGGCGGCCATTTTTTACCTGGCGGCCATTTTGGAACCACCAATCAGCTGGTTCTAAAAACACTGCTATGCGAAAATCGGTAAGCGAAACAGCTTACCGATCATCGCAAAGCGATGTTTTACCATTAAAAACATCGCAATGCAATCGCTTTTGCGATTGCAAAAACGGAATTCCTATGCAGCTTCGTCATTAAACGAGGCGCCTGTTAAGCGAGGCACCACTGTATTTATTTTAATATGACCTATATATGAATCAATTTTGAGAACTGTAATTCTCCAGGATTGTTACTAGGTCTAAATTTGAGGTTGTCAGTCGGGTACAAAAGGACACCAACGTGCCCAGACACATCCCATGGCATACTCCAAGTTTCCTTATCCATATGTTTTGCTTTTTTTTAAAAAATTGTTTTGAAGCTTGTGCGATTGAGCAGAAAAAGGTAAGAGGTATGTGATGGGAACATCCTGCAGGATCCTAGGGAGTAGAGAGAGAATGGTAGGGAATGAGAATATTTTGGTCATGTTGCCGGGGTGGATGAGCAGGTTTGGAGCGCGTTTCACTTGTTTGTCACTTCATTATGTTTTGCATGGTTGGGAGGGGCAGCATTTTTATAGCATCACCACTATGCCTTCTGTTAAGCATGTATTAGTTGTGCTTCATGGTACTAAATATAGCATTTTGCGTTTTCAGAGACTCATGAAGTTGGCAGGGACTGATAAGGCCATTGAGTACAACCCCCTGCTCAGTGCAGGAATACAAATCAAAGGATATATGCCAGGTGGCTGTCTAAATTTCTTCTGAATGCCTCCAGTGTTGGAGCACTTACCACCTCCTGAGGTACTTGGTTCCACTGCCATACTGCTCTAACAGTTATGTCTTCCTGTAACTTGAGCCCATTGTTGCCTGTCCTGCATTCTGGGATGATTGAGAACATATCCTGTCCTTCCTCTTTCTGACAGCCTTTCAAATATTTCAAAAGTACTATCATATCTCCCTTCAGTCTTTTCGCAAGACTAAACATGCCCTGTTCTTTCATTCTTTCCTCATAAGGCTTGAGTTTCAACCATACTTCTGCCTTCTACTGTTTCTGGCCATTTTATTTGTCTTTGGGCCTCCTCAATTCTCCCTCCATGAAAGGGCCATTGGAGGAGAAAACCTGAGTTCAGAAGAGTGTTATTGTCTGTTGGATCTCAATTGCAAACTTATCATAAATCTAGTTTTGGCCATGCTACGTTTCTCTCCACCTTACCCATCTTCCTTTGGGAAATGAGTATTCTAATGAAGCTATTTTGTGTACTGGCAAATCATTTTGTGAGAACACTCAAAATTCCAACTATACTCATTGACTGGCTCAAAATAATTCTGTTAATGTTCATTTAAAAAAAGTCCTGCTAAAAAACATTCCTGAAAAATCCACACACAAATAGAACCAATATAGTCCTTCTAGTGAGTTACTGAACTCCAAGGAGACTGAGATGCTGTTGGTATAATATATGGATACTAGAAAACTGACCTATTTCCTACTATTATTTCTTACATAACAAGCAAAACAATTTCTAATGGGCAAAGCCTCAGTTTCCTAACAAGGATGTTTATTACTTAAATACCTTCTAACCTTACAACATCCTTTAGAAATCTATAGTCCCTCTATATTAAATTTTTTATCTATAGTCCCCCAAATTTTATTTTTTTTCTCCCCAAATGGGTTTCTGTTTGCATACTTATTTTCTATGCTGATTGAGCAACTGGTATTTGTTGCTCTTTTGCACAAGTGAAAGGCCCCATTTGCTGTCAAATAGGGCACTTTCCAGCTTGTGTTTACTGCAAGACAGAGATCACAAGAAGCAAATGTACAGCTGTTATGCTCTATGTTTGTTCTCAGGATTCTGGTCACAGTAACATAAAAGATGTTTTAAAAATTAAGACACACAGTGGCTAATTGCTAATTTATGCTTGCTTAAAGGAAATCACACGAGTCTTCACAGCAAATTGCCATGTATAACTGAGGTGTTTGTTACTTTCCAGGGACAATGCCAATTGCTTGATTTGGAACATGCTCACTAACACACCCAACACTTTGTTATTACGCATAATGTGCCACCAAGACCAATGTACTGTAATTCCCTTATGCAAGCAAAAACAGGCAATAGGATTCTTGCCTTTGTGTTATAAATCAATACTAAAATCAAGTGAACACAGAACAACAGGTAGGAGGAAAAAGTCTGAGTATAAAAGTAGGAAGAGATGGTCAAGTTATGTTAAAACATATGTGGGAAATGCCCAGTGAAATCTCTTAAACAAGACTAAATTTTCTACTAGTCAGAATTTCAGATGGTCTAAGTGTGTGATGCATCTGTGTTGGCACTAAAAGATAACACCAAGATAAAAAGTCAACTGTTCCAACTTCTCCCAACTCACTACTATAAACATCAAATAACAAACCTATGAATAGAGGTAAGTTAAATAACTTGCATGAGATACTTCAGTACTACATTCAACATCAAATTTCAAATACAGTACTTACCACAAATCAGTTCTACCTGCTGGACCCTATTCATACTGCTGAGTGTATCCATTAGAGGATCTCTTCTGTCTGCTTCCTGGTCACTTGTCCCTTTATTCTCATAAGCCAAGACTGTATCACACTCATCAGTTAAGAAAGAAACTTCAAGATCAGAATATATTTTCTGAAAAAAAATAAAAAGTTTGTTTTCACTGCACAAATTGATCTGTCCAGCATTTTTGCCTCCACAATATGTTTCATTTCTGTTTAAAAAAAAAATAATAAAAAAAAACCAAAACTTTTTGCCTCCACAATATGTTTCATTTCTGGAAAAAAAAAAACCCACCCAAAACATTTTCTAAATATCTTTAAATGACGGCAAAAGCAGCACCGGCACAAAAGCAGGATTTGGTAATCTTTTGCACAAGACAAGAAAGAACAAACATAACATTATGAAAAGCTGAGAACTAGAAAGAGAAACCTAATTAGTTTGGAGGCAAGAGCAAACATGGCAGCAATCAAAAGAAAGCCTCCTGCAAATACCTTTCCCATAAGCATCCAGAATGGTCTGGGTGGTCAGGAAAGACAGGCTTAATGGTGACTGAATAAACAGAGTTTTAAACTCTAATAGAACATATCAATTAGAAAAAAATGGACTACCATTCTTTCTGGAAGTTACCTATGTTATTGTTTCTTAAAAACAATGTCTACCTAAAACATATTAATGCCTTTTCAATGTTTCCATTTCCATTCAGCATGTATAGTCTACCTGCTTTGTAGAAGAAACACAAAGAATAAAGATTTAAACAAAATGTATATATGCATATATATACCAAACATTCTTTACAGGTGCACAATTTGCTCCTCCAGTTGTGTGGCCAGAATGTGGCTGTGTTCATCTTTAGGCACTGCTTGGCTTGAAGTTCCTGCAGCTTGCAAGTAGATGCATTCTACAATATAAAATGTCAGTTTTATTCTTTCAATTCCAATAAATGGGTTATATATACTGGGCTAAACTTGAATTCAAGGCCCAAAATACAAAGAAAGGGATTAAGACTGCAAAATATTTATTAATCCTAAACTTTAGCTACTCCTCCTTAGTTATGCAAACAGTATTTCTCCTGGATATACAGTAATGAGGAAAGTGGCACTTAAACAAATCTGATTAAGAAGACTTAACAACTATCTCCCAGCTTGCCTAGTGGACACAAAACCATGCTGCATTTTCCAGTAGCACGCATATGCAAACTCAGCTGTCAGAAGCTTGTATATCTGGCTGCATGAAATCTGATCTATTTCCACCATCAATTCAATCATGTTGCAGCAGTGCAGCAGCCAGGAGTAATATTGGCCAATGCTGAGCAACAGTAACTTGATCTTCTGAAGGTATTATTGAAAATCTGCGTAACTTTTAAATCATGAAAAGTTAAACCATGAAAAGTGCAGACAAAATCTGAACAGCCTCCTCCTTTCTCAGAGCTCAAACAGAAGAATGACACCTTTCAGCCATAACCTCTAAGGAAACAGATATATTGCTTACCTTAGAACATTCAGAGCTAGAACTTGTAGATGGTTCACTGTTCTGTATTATTTTCTCCTCTTCAGTCTTCACCTGAGGATCTGAACCATTTTCTTTTTTCACTTCTTCAGTTTCTTCAACATTAATGTTAACTCTATCTTCAGCTGCAGGAGTAACTTTTGTCACAGTAGGAACTATAACAGATCAACACCCATGGCAAAAATTGGTATGTATGTGAAACAAAATGTTACTCATCTAATTTAACAGTAAAAGATTGTTATACACCAAATTTAACTTTAAAGAAAAATAGTAATTATTTTAAATTACTCGTCACTCTAATTTTTCCATACCTCTTTTCCAAGTGGTACACTCATTGGCACTCATTCAGTTATAAGTTCATATGCAAATATTTATTTTGTTTGCTATTTATGCAAAGACTGCTCCTCACATGACCATAAAGCAAAAAGGATAGTTTAACACAAAATATTGTTTCCATGAACTAAAACACTGCAAAATATGCACATGGATAAGAAAACTTATTACCAAGTGTGCACATTTCATATTGATATTTAAAACTATATGGACATGTGTAATACTTTCTAAACAATTCAAATGAATATAGCAGTCTCATTTATTACAGTTACCTAGGCTGAGTCACTGCTCCCAGATAAAAGGAATTCATATAATCCTTCCCACCTGACAACTGTGCAGCATATGCCCACAGGAAAGGGCAGCGATTCATGCAAGCCTGACACACCATTTCATGGAAGTCACCACTATCTGGAGGAACTGTACCAAGATGCTAGGGAAGAGAAAACCGACACATAAGGCAATAGCATATTAGCTACAAATAAATGGCTGAAATCCTGTTGCTTAGCACAATATATTGCACTAGAGTATGCCTACTGAATCAGTGGGGATTTGGTGGTTCAACTCCACTGATTCAAACAGGCCTACTTACTGAAAGTCATTATGGTCGGCAACAGGATTTCAGCCAATGTACACTTCAGCAAAACTGGAAAGCATCAGTCCTCAGCAGCCAATAATTATTCCCTTCCCTCTTTATTATTGTCAACTATATGTTAAGTATACAGCACAAATGAGGTATCTGCTTGCCTCCAAATCTCCCCATTTAGGAAGGAGATTTGTGTCCCGCAAACAAGATTGACTATGCATGTTTAATACAGTGGGCCCTCGACTTACGAACTTAATTCGTTCTGGAAGGACGTTCGTACCTCGAAAAGTTTGTAAGTTGAAGTACCATTTCCCATTGAAATGCATGGGAACGGAATTAATCCGTTCCAGCATTTAAAAAAAATACCAAACTAAAAATAAAAACAGCAAGTCCCACGTTGGGACTGCAAACACACACACACAAAGAACCACCACAGAAACATAACCCCCCCAGTCCAAACCCACTCTCCAAAACCCACACAGAAGTTTTTTTTTTTTAAAAAAAAAGGACTTACCAGTTCGAAGCCTGCCGGTGCTCCGCTGCCTCCGCGCGGCCGGGGGCAAGTGGCCAAACGCCCGGCCAGCTCTAGCCTCCCGGCACTGGGTGAGCTTCGGTGGCTCCGAAGCCAGAAAGGCAGGGAGAAAGGGTGGGAAATTCGAATTTCCTGCCCTTCCTTCCTCCCTGCCTTTGGAGGTTTCAAAGGGCTCCCTCCAATGTCGGGGAAAGCCCTTTGAAACCTCCGAATGCACCAATCACAGCGGCGGGGACCCCCAGGGATGTTTCCCATGGTGGCGTGCAAGCCCTGTGAGACCTCCCTGGGGGTCCCCGCAATTGGCGGCTTCGGAGGTTTCAAAGGGCTTTTCCCTTTGAAACCTCCGAAGCCAAAAAGGAGAGAGTGGGAAATTCTAATTTCCTGCCCTTCCTCCCTGCCTTTGGAGGTTTCAAAGGGCTCCCTCCAATGTCGGGGAAAGCCCTTTGAAACCTCCGAATGCACCAATCACAGCGGCGGGGACCCCCAGGGATGTTTCCCATGGTGGCGTGCAAGCCCTGTGAGACCTCCCTGGGGGTCCCCGCAATTGGCGGCTTCGGAGGTTTCAAAGGGCTTTTCCCTGACATCGGAGGAAGCCCTTTGAAACCTCCGAAGCCAAAAAGGAGAGAGTGGGAAATTCTAATTTCCTGCCCTTCCTCCCTGCCTTTGGAGCTTTCAAAGGGCTTCCTCGGGGGAAAGTCCTTTGAAACCTCTGAAAGCACTGATCGCGGCGGCGGGGACCCCCCTGATATCGGAGAAAGCCCTTTGAAAGCTCCAAAGGCAGTGAGGAAGGGCAGGAAATTTGAATTTCCTGCCCTTTGGGTTCGTAACTCAATCCGCATTTGCAAGTAGGGTGTATTACTTGCGATGAGATCGGGTGCAACTACTGCCATTCGTAAGTTGTACCTGAATTCTATTATTATTGAGAAATGTGTGTGAGATCAATGCAATTCTTTGAATTACGACTCAAAACTGACAGCAAGGAACCAATTTAGAAATATCTGGCAAAAGAGGTTACATTTGTCATTGGTACATTCCCAACCTTTTATTAGATGCACTTACCCTTCCATGGAACCAGTCTTCACAAACTATGCACTGGATCATTTCATCTGGAATCTAAAAACAGAGTCATTGTCTTACAAAACGCACTGATCTTTCAAACTTAGATTTTAGATGCTTTAAAAATTGAAGCAAGTACAAAAAACTGCAACTTATCCATTAACCACTTGCATTCTCGTATCTCACCTATTTTAGACACCTCTGCGTCAGCAGCATACTCATTTCCACATCTCTCAAAAGTGGCAATGTAAAATATGTAGGTTGTTAGGTCTCAATTCCTTTATGAAAAACCTTCTTAGCAATTACAATGTACAAATAAAGTCTTGAGTCAGTGGCAAGCAATCCTGGAGGGTTTGGGAGGGAAATTTGAGCCCCCATCCTGCCTTCCATAAACGCTATATTGGGTCATAAACAGCCTTGTTGGCCTTTTTTTTAAATGGAAACAGAAAGTGGCCACATGGCACATGGGCATTTTTAGTTTCTGTTTTCTTCTTCTTTTAAGGGGGCTCAGAGCCACTCTACCTAATATGAAGCTGATTATATATCCAAGAGCAGACACAGGTCATTTTTGGATTGGCAGGCCCTAAGAAGCTGAAAAAATGTCCATTCATGAGACCAATGGGTTGCATGATACCACAGTGCCACAGGCTATGCTTCCTCATCAGATTTTTTTCAACCTGAGATATGTATTGTCCCCTCCCTGCAAATGCAGAAATCATGAAATCTTTTCCAAATTTACATGTAAGCAACTCATTGTGTCTACAGTATAGTCAAATTTAAGCAATAAAGATTCAAGGCACTAGGTGGCCTTTTGAAAAAATTAATGATGACAGTTTCAGGAAGGAGTGACATCTTTTTTCTCTAGCAAACTCACCACAGAACTGTTGTGTTTTGTGATCAAACCGCCATACACTTGCACTATTTTTAGTACATCAGTACTATTTCTATAAGCATGCACCACCTGTAGTATTAAGCAACATAATCAGCAACACTGCGCATATTATAAAATGTGTTTAAAATATACAATGGTGCCCCGCATAGCGAGGTTAATCCGTTCCGGATTAACCTTCGCTATGCGAAAACATCGCTGTACGGGGCAGGAAAAGCCAATAGGCGTCAAAACTTACCCCTCCAGCGATGTTTTCGCGGTCCAGCGGCCATTTTGGAGCCGCCGATCAGCTGTTCGGTGGCTCCAAAATGGCCGCCGGACGCCCCAATCGTCGCAAAGCGAGGGCGGGGATTGGGGGCGCTCCG